ACCCCTAAACTTTTAATATTTCATTTTTCATAAATGGCTACGTTAGTGCGTTGCCTAGATCTCTCGTTACCTATTCACAAGAATAGATTAAAATAATTTGTTTTACTATCATATTTCTGTTAATCTAATTCATAATACGAAATTGTTAATTCATTTATAATAGTATAGATCATATTCGTGTATATCACTATCTGATGCTAAGGTTTTATTTCAGAAAATATAATTAATTCAAAATGTAGAAAGATACACAATTTGCCATTATTTGACTTTTAAACTGTACAAAGTATGATATAATGATCAGAATGCCTGTAACGGGTAGTATTAAGAAAGAAATATTTGTCGAGAAGTCCCATTTTTCAGATATGCCCTTCAGTAGTATTATTACATATCTCCAGAGAGAGGTTTACATTGTAGTTCTCATTATTTGTGGATAATATATATGCTACCATGACGAAAGAATACAGAGTATACATAACTCGCAATTCTATATATTCAGCAAACAGCCCAAAACCGAAACTCCACAACATATCCGATTACACTGATTAAGGCTGTCCCAGTTCTCCATGCGATACCGACGCCCGTTCGTCTCCCAGACCATACAGAATAATAAATTTAAAAGGAATCCAGCTCAAGTCTAGAACGATTTGGCAAGCCTAGTTTGCCTTAATTCTATCCATGAAAGAAAGCATTAATAAAAAAAGATTGTTCTTGTCTGCTTCAGATTATATTTTGTAGATACTTATTTTAACTAGGAAATTTGTACTGACACCGGCGCTGTCCCCATTGAAGCTATCCATAAGAATTTCGAATTGCCGTCCATTGTTCGATGTCAATACATCGATGACAAGTGAGGATATCATAAAGTAATCGTTGATGCCGCGCTACACTTTGATAAAAATTATAATCAAGTTGACTGGTGTGTACATTACTACAGTGAACATGTACATGATCATGCCCTAATAATCAAATGCCGTAATGTCAAATACTAATTTATTATTGTGTGATGAATTTAACTGGATCAGTGGTAACATGTGATATTAATATTCCATCAATTTCTTTCCTGGTTGGTCCATCCATGTCTACAAATTGAAAATAATACAATTAAAATGGAGCATAGAACAATTCTTAATTTCAGGCTAGAGCTGTGGAAATCTAGACTTTCCCAATCATTATAGACTTGAGTTGGTCTCATGTTTTACATTATTCTCTTGGGTCAACGTCACAGCCCATACCATACACTAACAAGACCAGCTTGCCCCCCGCCGGAGCTCCCGGATTTTGGCTATATCATCTAACATGGCCAACTCTGCTCTTAAGTAAACAAGAACCTAATCAGCGAGGGGTCCTTTATCATCCCTATGTGGCTGCTTATAAAAATCTGATATCTTTTCCCAAAGACCTGGTTAATAATATATTTTCTGCTGAATATTCGAAACAAATAGAGTAAGTTGGTACTACATGTACATATGTATACGGTTCTATTTTAAATGACTGCAGCGCTCCATTATGAAAACAATTTGTTTTAACGCCGCTCTCAGCAGTATTCCAGTGATATATGACGGCGGTCTGTTGTATATGAAATATATGCAAATTGAATCTTGAAAGTTGTGACATTTCCGCAAATAAGTATCACATGCAGTATACAGTATATCAACTGCAATATACTGTATACATCAGTATACAGTGTGTCGCGAGCTCTGCGCTGGGCTGGAGCACACATTTCCTACACCTCTCTCGCAAACACATCACGAGGGTTGCAACGAGGTCACAGGTCAGGCGTGCACTCGTCAGTTGTCTAATACGGTAAAGAGTAAGATCTTCCGGAAGACCACTGCACTGGAGGTATGTGGATTATTGAGGAGGTACTGCGTGTTTGGAACTGGGAGTTGAACACTAAGCACTTTTAGAGAAGAGCTCACAATAAAACGTTATGGACTCGCGGACGGACTTGTGTTTTCATTTCAAGACGTACATTTATCAGGTTGAACTTCCTAACTGTAACACTAACTGAACTTTACGCCTTTTATACACATTTGTGATGGGGCGACAATGCGACATGTTAAGAAAGGAAGAGGGGCGAAATGGGCTTAATAAATTGAGAATGTATCGATGTTACAAACAAGTATATGGGACAGAATACTTTGTTTCAAATAAGATGCCCAGAAACTATAGATCGGCACTAGCCAAGTTTAGATGTGGTGTGGCTCCTTTTCGAGTGGAAACCGGTCGATACGAAGGTGTACTTGTCAATAATAGAAGATGTTTTCACTGTAATGACAGCGTAGAAGACGAGGTCAATGTTTTGTTTCACTGCGCATTATATGATGATATCAGGGCAACTCTTTTTAATGAATGTATTGATAAATCTTATAATGTTTTAGATATGCCAGATGTCGACAAACTTTGTTTTATTTTCAGTGACTCCAGTGTGTGTTTTATACTTGCCAAAGTCTGCTTTTTAATTCTTAATCGTAGAAAACATCTTTTATATGGATAACTTTTTACTATATCATCTTTATATCATTTATGTATAAATTCTGTGATAATTCGTCTCTCATAATTCTATTGAATGGTTCTGTACATTTTATCTATGTCAGGTTGTATAAAGCTGTTTTATGTATGTACAGGAGTGAGACGTTAATAAACTATTGTCTGTCTGTCTGTCTGCGACAACGAGACATATTTTGACCTTGAAAATGTCGCGTTACGGCATCGTCGCCCTTTTGTAAAATAAAGAAAAGGATTATCAAAGAGCGACAATGCGAACACGCGACAATGCGACAAATGGCCAATTGTCGCGCTTTTGTTAATTTTGACACGTTTTGCTTGTTTTTGTAAAGGCGTCAATGCGACAATGCGACAACGAGACAATGTCCCTTCCATAGTAATCCGTGCAAATAAAACTGAGTAATGAAATAGAAGTCTGACATGCCAGTTAAAAGATAGAGTGTTGCAGCTTCTGATTTCATAGATCTTCAAGAAGGGTTATCAATAATGGAATGGGTGATGAGTTCACCTGCATACGCTGTGATTAACAATAATGCTCCGAGTCAATACATTTTGTCGAATGTATGACATGTATTACGTGAATGAACATATTGTTTATACTCGTCCATGTTTTTGACGGACAAAATAATTTACATGCTCGGTAAAACTGAGGACGGGCATCATTGTGTGTTTCCGTGCTTTGTTCAGGTGAACAATTGACTTGTCCTTGCATGTGTTTGTGACGGGTGCCACTTGTGTGGCAGGATACGCTCACCTTTTCCCGAACACCCATTGGATGACCTGAACCACTTCGGATTTTTATCCCACATCAGTCTGATACACCATGATATAACTGAAATACTGAAATACTGTACAGTTGAAAATGATGTTTAATGCGATTACCGTAGTGTGTTACTGCAACTGTTCATATTTTGTGCAGTGATGTTATGTAATATGTAAAAGAATGCATATTCAATTATCCAATTGATTTGAATAGAATATACTTGCGTCAGTGTATTTTATTAACGCCCCAAATCGTAATTTAAACACATAAAATAACAGATCACGCATGGTGCCTTGACTTACTACTAGATTTAATGGGCCACCCCGGAATAAAATAGTTCCCCCCAAAGCGAGGAACATATGTTTTAGTATGTTTACAAGACATATATTCCAAACAATATCCTCATTAGATGAGAAGATCTTTTACAGAATTACCTCAGTAAGTCAATTACAATGACAGAGCGTCGTAATACATTTACATCAAGTACAATACGTCAAAATGGCCGACACGATAAACGTGACGGGAGATATTTTCGAAGTTGTTAATTAACCTATGGCGATTTCAAGCCTTTGGCATCACTGATCAATTGGCCGATCATTGAAAGGTGATTGTGAAGATGTGTCAAATAGATACTAAGGTAAATTCATAGATTTCTGTAAATTGTCACTGCGACTACTTGGATTTTCTTTCGTGTTTTTTCTCTCTGGGATGGGTTGTAGCGAGGGTATCCTTAAATGGGCTTGCAACCACGCTTCTGTATGAATTCGTACCAGGGAATTCCAAGGGCTTTCCCCAGGAATGTGGAAGTAGTCAGTGTTTACGCCTTTTCAAGAATACAGTCACGTGAAGAACGTCATGTGACCGACCTCGCGTCCAAGTCGTATATCTTGTAAACTTCACATTAAAAAATTAGTTATTGTTATAACCAAATGAAACACAACCCATTATCCGATAGGGGTAACTGTACATAGCCGTTACCACAATAAACTTAGTAACATTGTTTGGTTTGACTTCTTGGCGCGTGTCTGAATTCCATTAACATGTAACATATCCTAAAACTAGCTTATCAGCAAATCTCGCTGCACTGCGCCCGACAGATACTAGAGCAAGGCATGCCAGAAATACGAAACCTAAAGCTTCCGAAAGGAAGCCTTGGACATCACGTGCGTCGGGGGACCAGCGCCATCTGATTGGCCGTTAACAGTTGTACAAGGCGGAGTAAAAAGCATCGTTTTTCCGTCCATTTTACGCTTGAAAAACTCGACCCTTTTCTGGACACTTTCTAGACGCTGACCAATTAATCAATTTTAATGAATTTTTAGTCGTTTTTCCGTCAATTGACCATATACGGAAAAAAACGACGTTTTCGTGTTTGCAGTGTGGGTTTCATCGAAGTGGTAAACGTCCGAGGCTTACATCACTTCGGGCACTGCTCCCAAATTAAGCTCACACGCCGCGATATAACTGTAATGAAAGCGGCGTTAAACCAAACTTACTCACTCACTCATAGCAAGTTTACGTCAAGAGTGGAATATGTTTTAACTTTTCCCGGGCTTTAGCAAGGGACAAAAAAAATATTCATAAAATATGAGGTAAATATGAAGCTCCCTTAATATTCTGTAACAATTACGTTGATTTTATATTTAATTAACATAGATGGTTCACGACGTGTTTTGAATGTATGCATCATGTAATATATATTAACCAAATATCATGTTTATCCTTTTAGTCCGATCAGTATGCTCACTTTGAGAGGCTCGGAGTTGGTCTTGCCCACGAGTTCATCTACAAGGATCTGTCTCTACGTCACGGCGTCATGTACTACTTCAACATCCACCTCATCAACGACCTTCAGTTCGAGTCCATCCTCCATAGCAAGGGTGTTGTGGTGGATGTCACACCTCCCGAGCCAGGTAGGATGTACTTGACCTTGATCTGTTGTATGGCGGTACATTGTATATCCTTGATCTGTAAGAATTGACCACAGAGTTTTCAGGTGAAAAAATACTTGTGTTTTGGACGGGTCTATCGGTGGGCAGGATACGCTCTCATTTTCGCGAACACCTGGTATAATCACTATTGGACAGTGATTCATTAACACAATATTATGTTACTGTGTCACTAGCCTGTCAGAATAGGCCATGGGGTTGTAAAACTATCAAAAACGTGATAAATGTCAATCACCTTAGGTCACCTTGTCTGAACATGTGATTGATATGCGCGACAAATTGTTGAATGAGTCATGTTTTCCTTATGGTTATTACTTGGGAAAATACATTGTTTACTGAATACAAAGATGTTCTTGCTCTACTTTCAGCAATGTTGTGTACTTCTTGATGACTTGAAAGAATAACGTTAACACCTGAATCAGATTTTGTGATGCGTTTTCACGAAAACCGATCGATACCACTTGTGTTTCAGGTCCACTGGCTAATGTAAGTCTGGATGTCCTGGAGGTGACCTCGTGTGAGAGTGTGGTTCCAGATGACAGACCGGAGTGGGAAATCAGGTGTCGAGGTGTTAACAGTCAGATAAAGAACCACAGGTGAGAGACAGTTTTTTTCATAAACGGTACCATGTTAACACAGGGTTTATTGGTCAGAATTTGTGAAAACAAAAGTTAACATATGTTTCTATTCTTGTGATGATGTGAAATGAACAATTATGTTAACCTTGTATTCATCTACGTATGCATGTCTTACATACAAAATAACTTCTGAAGCACGTAACTTGAAACAATCAGTGGAAACTGGTACCAGGCATATAACCTTATGCACACGCCTATCAACATCTCCTGGTGTGGTGATAGGTTCAAGGTTGCTTTTAGAACCTATTTCAGTTTTCTTTTCCTGGGAGAATATGTGAAGATCACAGATTTCTCAGATCACGGAGCCACCTGTGACCGTTGTTCATGTGATCATGAAGTTGAGTTCTTACCTTGGACGTGAAATTACTTCTAAATGTTATCGTTGTATTTTCAGGATAATTCATGACGGTCACGGGTCAAAAACCGTTTTCAACGGAGACACACCCCTCACCGATCTCCTGTACACCAGAGCAAACAGATTCGTAATAGGTCGGTGAAATATTATAGTTTTTAAAAAGAATTTCAACTATGTGAAATTTATTTCAGCAATACGGCTAAAACTATTATGTTGACATACCTTAACATGTCCAGAAAATACTACTTATATCCATGTATCGTTATGTTCTTAGTTCATTATCCATATGTATTTTCTTTTTAAAAAGGGGTGTATTTGTTTTGAGGCCAGATTTATTTGAATAAATTTGGTATTCACTATATATAATTTCATATATAATTTCTCATTTGTTATTAACTAGGCAAATTTCAGTCTTCTGAAATATATATTAACACTTCTGTGGCTTCTTAGACTGGGTTATTCCAAACTGAGTTGGAATAGTTTTTGTTTTACGGTTTTGCATTTTGCTTTAGTGGCGTATACCATTTCATTTAAACAATATATATATCATTCTGAAAGCATCACATCTTATGATATGACTATGTGTCCCTGTGTCAGCTAACTGGGACGGCATCATGGACAAAGAGACTGGCATCCTTGGCTACTCCTGGACCGTGGGGAGACAAATCTGTGAGGAGCTGATCCACCCTCATCATGACCCTCACAGACACCTGTTTGACGAATCAGCGTGGACAAACACTGGCCTCCTTTCCCCCGTACCAGCTCCTCACGACCCCCTCCCAGGTAAAATTGAAGTGTAATCCTTTTAATAATATAACAACGCAATAACCTAAAATAATAATTTAGGGTTGGCCTCTCACAAGAGGTAAAATGGGTTTTAGCGTCGCGTTATTGCACATATACAGCAACGTGCATGCACGTCTGTGCATGGCTGCTTATACTAATCCAGACTGATGCCGATTAATAGTGCTAGCCCACTGAGATACCATGCCGCAGTTTAACATGAATACCCCACTCAGACACAGTATACTGACTCCGAGCCGACCAGTCCTTGTTTTAGCCCCTTAATGTCGAGTGCCAGGCAGGGTCACAACAAGTACCATCTTTAGACGTCTTTTGGTATGACGAGGCCAGGGATCGAACCCCGGACCTTCAGCTTTCCGGGCGGACGCTCTACCACTAGACTACTAGACAACTTTACAAAATAGATGGATGTATATACCAATATGAGTTGGGCTGTTAGTAAACCTTAAAAAATCACTTAAAAGACGAGGTGATTGTGTGGCGTAGCTCGATGGTGATGTTCAATGCTCTTATCGCCCTTTAAATTCAATAATATTGAACTCACTCAGTTACAGGGTTGATATTCATCTGATCATTAGGGATTGCTTCAGAGATGATTATGATTTTGTTTCAGATGGGAAATACTACATCACACTCCGGGCCTTGAACAAGGTTAACTATGGAGGTCCGCTGGTGACAACAATCTGCCACACCACGCCCCTTGGAATAGACAACTCGCCACCACTCCTACATGAAATCTATAACATCTCCTACAATGAAGAGAGCTTTTTCATCAATGCACAGTATAATGCCAGGTAATAGGTTTTTGTGTTACAAATGCTGTCTTGCTATAATAAAAAAGTTATAATAAATATAAATAATAAAACCCATTGATATTTGAACAATAACAATACCGTCCTTTAAATATTTAGTGATAAATATTACACTTTAGTTCATCCATTCACAGTGACCCAGATTCAGACATCAAAGAAGTGGACTTGTGTCTGGGACAGACCACACGTGACTGTCATCACATGGACTGGCAGAGATCCTCGCACAGTGATGGCGACATCACCCGTCAGTTCCAGATCCCAGGTGGAACTCCTGTCTGGATTAAAGTCAGGGTGATTAACAACGGTGAGTCATATCTAAGATCTTTTAACGGCGAAGGAGACGTCCCCGCCTGTTCCAGATCCCGGGTGAAACTCTTGTGTGGATTAAGGTCAGGGTCATCAACAATGGTGAGTTGTAATAACAGGTTCCTACACAGTGATGGCGATATCACCCGCCCGATCCTGATCCAAGGTGTAACTCATGTCTGGATTAAAGCCAAAGTCATTACACATGGGTGAGACCCTCCATTGTAATGATATCAAGAAACTTAAAGACTTGATTATTAAACAATATTGCTGTTACAAACGTTGATCTCTTCATTTATAAAAATCACATTCATCCGGGTATTTAAATGGAAACGGCACCGTCAGTTATAACGAAGTTTCATTGTGGAATAATATCATTATCACGTTGTATGCAGATGAAATGCCGTTAGTGAGGTAAGTTAAAGTTGCTTTTGCACAACTGTCAGCATCTCGATGTATAGACTCCAACAGGAATTTGTTTGTTCATTGTTTAACTCCACTGTCAGCGATATCTCCTCCGAAATACGGCGCAGGGGTTCATGCAATATATCAGGTCATCGGAATCTGACTTCCCGATCCTTTTATTCCAAGCATAGGCTGCTGAAGATGAATTTTTATCATGGTATAAAAAAAAGCTTCCAACAACCACAAACGTTTTGTAAATATCACATTATAAAGAAATCCGATATTAATTGTGTGTTTAAGTTGATTTGATGAAAGTGGGCGTGTCCGACCATCCGATCACAGTCGACACATCACCCCCTGAACCAGGCATTGTTTATGATGGACCCGTCTACAGGCTTGACCTCAACTTTACCAAGGATGCTGAGAAGGTAGATCGTTACTTCACAAGAACGTTCTTTGTAAATAGTTGATAGCTAGCTATTAATATTCCATTATACTTGATATACATCCTATAAAGTTGCAGAAAATGAATTATGCCCAAAACCTTTTTTCCCTTTAAAATGAGTTCTGATCTTTTAATTCCAGATTTGTGCAAACTGGTTTGGGTTTTATGATCCCGAGTCTGGTATTTCCCACTACGAGTTGTCGGTTCTTGATGACACAAACACAGCGATCTCCAAACCGGTCAGTCTTGACCACAAGACACACGAGACATGTGTCCAGCTTGACCCTGACCAGATGCTCCGTCATGGCAAGGCCTACAGCTTCTATATCACCGCATTCAACGCTGGCCACAAACAGCTGAACGTATCGGCAATGTCAGATGGAGGTAATGTAATGTCAGATGGAGGTAATGCAATGTCAGATGGATGCAATGCAATGTCAGATGGAGGTAATGTAATGTCAGATGGAGGTAATGCAGTGTCAGATGGAGGTAATGTAATGTCAGATGGAGGTAATGCAATGTCAGATGGAGGTAATTCAATGTCAGATGGAGGTAATTCAATGTCAGAAGGAGGTAATGCAATGTCAGATGGAGGTAATGTAATGTCAGATGGAGGTAATGCAATATCAGATGGGGTTAATGCAATGTCAGATGGGGGTAATGCAATATCAGATGGAGGTAATGTAATGTCAGATGGATGCAATGCAATGTCAGATGGAGGGTAATGCAATGTCAGATGGAGGTAATTTCCATGTCAGATGGATGCAATGCAATCTCAGATATCTCGGATACATGGACAGATTGTAAAGTTTTCTTTTATCCCAAAGATAATGAGCACCGTATTCTGACTCATCTATGACCTTGAATCTTGGACTACAACCACAACCACTCCCCATCCCCATCCTCTTCACTCCCCACCCCCATCCCCATGCTCACCACTCGCCATCTCCACCCCGCCCTCATCAGTCGCCACCCCACCCCCTCATACCCCAACCCCATGCCCATCAAACCAACACACTGTGATTTAACTGGAATACTGTCACTATTCCAGTGATCGTGGACCTGACTCCCCCGGTGCTGGGTGAAGTTGTTGACGGTATACGGGACGGCTTTGCCGACGTTGAGTTCAGTACCCACGTTGCCACAGTGGGAACCCAGTGGAGGAACCACAGTGACCCCGAGTCAGGCATCAGAGAATATGCAGTACAGATACTCAGAGCAAAGTAAGTGGGAGGGAAATTACTGAAGAGCCACAGTAACCCGGAGTCAGACATCAGAGTGTGGGAAGTATATCACTGAGGAAACATGTGCTATATATGATACTACACTCAATCATGTTCTTATGAAATGTCATTATAAATGTGTATGATGTTAATGCTGAATAATATTATTCGTAATTGTGGCACTATTATAAAATGAAATGAATTCATATATGCAGTGTATACGTAAGTGAAGAAAATATTTAGTATTAATTTTATGAAACGATCTTTCGGAACATTGTTATCATGTTATGCTTACATAGTCTTCAGCGGGATATTTGGGGAACGTCTATTAATATATGACCACAAAGTCATTCCTTCATATCTATGAGTCGATAATCTGGACGAGGTAACTTGAAAAGAGACCGAAGGATTGTTGGAACACAATGTACATGTATTCAACTCTTGGAATATCCCACCACAGTATGATACTCAGATACAGCGATTATGTTATGGCATCTCTCTGCTGTGTTTAAACGTTCCCTACCAACTTCTTTGAGAGGCATTTAGAAGTTGGAGTACTAAGTAAGGATAAGATATATCGCTGAACAACTTCTATATTACAATGAGGAGCGACATTTCGGCGTTTAACATTTGCTTGAAAACGGTGTTAGAACCTACACTGAAACGTTGCTCCTAATTGTAATAAAGACGTTGTTAAGCCATATATCTTATCCTTACTTATTTCCCTACATTCACCACACTGTACGTTTATCTATTCCAGAGGGTTGTCTCCCGACTTTGAGGTAGTAAAGGACTGGAAGACTCTGGGCAAAGACGTCAGCCAGATCGAGTGGCACAGCTTCCACCTGAACCATCAGGACGTTGTCAAGACGAAGCTGAAAACCATCAACAACGCCCTGGGGACTGTAGAACAGACAACAGATGGGTTTGTTGTGGATCTCACCCCGCCCAGGATGGTGTTCCTAGGTGATGGACGTGAACAGAGCAAAGATGCGGAGTTCCAGGTGAGGCTGTGGCGTGAAAATGAAAAATCAAACATCATGGACTATGCAAACCATTTACAGCCACAATAACTAGGCGTTATATATGTAGCTACCTTTCATTATGGTCTGGCTTTATAATTGACATGAACAAAACAAATATTCGGTGATCCAAATGGGTAATATGTAACCCTAATCACAGTGCATGCATTGGATGTCATATGTTGTCTCCACTATTATTGAACTGGTAACCACATAGTCTCACATTTTGTTTTGTCTGTTCGCCACATTATAAGTATATTGTGATTATCATAAATTGTTTTGTCTCCGATATTCGTCACATGACTCGTTTAGGATCGGTGATATTTGCAGTCTACTTTTTCAGCATCAAAGCAAATTTTAGTGATGTACATTGGCATTGTTAGTATGTGTATCCCCTACCTCAGCTCTCCTCAGCAAGAACGTCATCCCAAACATTAACATGAGTTTATCCAGTAACAAGAAGTTTACATCATCCATTAAAAATAGTTCTTGTGTACATATCTGCTAGATGTCTAGCATCATATTTGTTCTGAAAAGTAAATGAATTATGCTTTATCAGGATACGATAACAATAAAAAAACTTAAATATCGCTCTAAACTGAACCCACTCATTTTTAATTAACTACACATATTTCATGTTATCTCCTTGCAGATATCTAGCACTACTGTTGAAGCTAACTTTCAGTTTAAAGATGACGAATCTGGGTTGGACCATTTCAAATACCAGGTGTATGAGCTTTACCATGGGTCAAAACATCAGATCTACCCCGGTTAGTAATCTTGTATTATAACTGTATAGAATCTCTTTTAAGGAATAACTTCAATAGCCGAACAAAGAGTGGCACAAGTTCAGAATACTTATATCAATTCATAATGATGTCTCCAAGACCAATATGTAAGTTCTTGATTCTGCTGGAACAATTCTCAAGTATTAATATCACGGTACGAGATTTTAATGCTGGAGACATCCCATATGACACATAAGCATGTGTATGGTGTTGACGAGCATACTATCTGGTATTCAAACCTACGGCCAGCGAATCTTGGCGCAGCTAAGGAAAGCACATTCCAACAAGGAACTTATATTACCCATGCCTTCTTTCTTAATGTTTCAAGTTGCAGTAATGCCGACGTAAGATACAACTCATTCACTCGTTTTGTAACGCGAAATCATGATTCATATTACAGAATCATATAACACTCCACTTTTGATTTTGAAAATATGTTTATATCTTTTCGTTTTACACAAAATTGAATCCTGTGATTTGTCAAGTGTATACCTAAATAGATATGATTATCGCTGTACAACGTGGTGTAGTAAACATGTTTGGAAGCCTCTTAAACTATATATTTCCTCCTGAAACAGGCCCAGAAGGTTGGGAGATCACCAGCGACCCAAGCAGCACCAGTCTCAGTAAGTCTGGCTTGAGTCTCCGACCGGGCGCTCAGTACAGTGTGAGAGTAGGGGCCGTCAACAGAGCCGGGGCCGTCGCCATCTACGACACAAACGGTGTACTTGTTGATAATACACCGCCTAAGGTAAGAAATAGAACCCGCGTACGGAAGTGCAGTATCTTAAGTATGTAGACGTTTTCTCGGACAGTACCAATACTTAGTACTTGTCCAATTTAAATTGTCTCCAATTAATATAAAAGATGAAGGTAATCAAGTCCCACGCATGGATAGCAAACGTTTAAATGACCCCTAGGCTACACAATCATCCCTTTTAAATGGGTCTGTGAGTATTGTTTTACACAGCTTTCAGCAGCATTTCAGTAAAATGACGCCAGGGTCACATTGCAACCATGAGTTCATGGAACTTAGGTCTTAATAATAATTATATTGTCACTAGCCGTCAGTCCTTATTGATACAGACCATCTACAAATGGTATCAATATAGTTAATATATCAATGTACGTACATTTTTTATAAAGTGTTAGAGTATCCGACGTAAAAACCTATTTCAGTAAAGAGGTGGCGTATATTATTATGTCTATCATCGCTGTATGCATGGTTATACAGGACTGATATGTTATCCATTATATTCTCTCACAGATGTGAATGTGTGAACTAGATTAAACATCACTTTACACCAAACACCTGATCCAATGACTATGAAGGAACGCAACTCTCAGCAGTGTGGCCAAGGAATTGTAACATTCATAACTTATATTTAAGTGCAAGAGTTGGCTAACTTATTTTAAGACAGCTGATCACAAATGCGATAGTTCTCCGCATATTTCGAACAAATGTGTTAGTTTGTTGAAAGTATTTGCTTTTTAACGTAAGAGTTATGTTTTTAACAGTCGGCAATATATCAGCTTTATCACCGGGTCTGACTAACCAGTAGACGATATGACGTACCGCGCCATCAGGCATTATGACATCACGTTGGCTCTGACGACAAACATTGAGATACTGGGTACTTTTTCTAACCTCGGTCCCAATGGGGCTTGTGTTTGGAAAATAACATATTTGATTCTAAAAGATTCTGATCTATCCTCAAAAGTGTAAATAAGAAGCATGCATCTGGAAATAATATTAACACCAATGATTGGTACCTACACTTTAGAATGTTTTTATTATGCCCCATCATTGAAGATCAGTTTGACGCAGAACCTACAGTACCAGATAGATCCGCTCGATATGATACAAACAAAAATGTTACCGAGGATAGTCTTGATTCTCCAACAATGAGGGATGAGATTTTTAACAGCATATATAATCCTTATTGTAACAAGGCAGCTGGTATAGATGATACTATTCCTGAATTCTTTAAACATTCTTCAGATTTACTACTTCAATACTTAGAATTAATATTTCATTTGATATTAGAAAATGGGCATATTCCAAATTAAGGTTGATTGGTATTATCGTCCCAATACATAAACAAGGTGATATAAATAACGTGAATAATTACAGAGGTATTACCCTTTTAAGCATATCCAGTAAGATATTTACATCTATCATTAGGAAGAGATTAGTGTTCTGAGGTAATACTATGGATAAAATAAGTGAAGCCAAAGCTGGATTTAGAGAAAGATATACAACTATTGATAATATGTTTATACTACAAACAATCGTACAAAGTTATCTAAGTACAAAAGGTGGAAAGTTCTATGCTCTATTCGTTGACTTTGCAAAGGCATTTGTCTCTGTACAACGAAATAAGTTATGGTCACTTTGGATTCCCATGGTCTGAGTTGTAAAATGAGCAAACTGCTATGTAATATTTATGAAAATGTAAAAGTGTGAGTCAGAAATAACGGAGAATTGACGGATAAGTTTGATAGTGAACTTGGAGTGAGACAATGCTGCATACTTAGTCCTTTATTGTTCCCATTTTTTATTAATGAATTAGGAACACTAATTCAAGATAAGTGTACAAATGGAATTCAATTACATTCTGACATTATGCAATTACGCAATTATTTGCGGACGATATTATATTATTCTCAAGAACTACTGGCGGCTTACAGACACAAATTGACATTGGAATAATACTGTGATGAATGGAAATTAACTGTAAACAAAGATAAAACGCAGATCGTTGTTTTAAAAATGGTGGGAAGCTTGCTAAAAAGTAAACATGGCTCTACAAAGGGGGACGCCTAGAAACTACCTCTTTCTACAAGTACATGTATTTAGGTGTATATTTTACAAATCATCTTACATCGTCCATGCATACAAATCAAGCATCGATGAAAGCTCAAACGGTATTTATTGGTGTCAAAACAAATCTATACTTTTGGAATTATTACTTAGATATTTGATTTGAAGATAAGTTTGATGATACTATATGGAGCAGATATCTGGGGACTCAGTAAGCTTGAAAAAAGAGCCAAAGTACATTTATATGCCTGCAAGAAATTCCTTTGTGTTAAGGTTAATACATCAAATGTTTTGGTACATAGTGATCGTGGCAGATTTCAAATGTATATATATACTGAACCAAATGAAAAACTTCACATTCCTAAAATTTTAACATTTTGACCAGTTATCATTGTGGGTCCTTATTGTGTATTTAAACAGTAATGGCAACGTATTATCTTCAGATAACACCCGTTTTTGTGCAGGTGAATCGATCAAAATCATGTGCACAGCACTGTAGTGGCAAAAGTGGTTTTTCACGTGCAACTGGTCACGTGGCCATAATACCGCATTTGTTTTCAGTCATACATGTTAGCAGTCATTAACAAAAAAAGAAAAACACAAGAAAATAAAAGTCTTTACGGCCATTTGTCATGCCACGCCTTTCAAATGTGCAACGTGAACGTGCCATCGGCATGTTGTAGACGGGAACGTCCGTAGCTGAAGTCGCAAGGACGATGGGTTGTAGTCGACGGACTGTTTATGATTTACAGACGCGTCTACAGCAAACGGGTACCACCGCTGATCGCCCTCGGCCAGGTCGACAACGTGTGACGTCACATGCAGAAGATCGTCAGATTGACTTACGTCACCTCCGTAACCGATTTTTGACGGCTACAGCCAGAAATGAACTGGTTAGGGGTAGACTGAGTGCGCAAACTGTTCGAAACCGTCTGAGAACTGCTCACCTTCAAGCACGGCGGCCATACTGCGGGCCGATTCTGGCTCAATTACACAGACGTCAACGTCAATTGTGGGCACAGCGACACTAACGATGGACTCAGAGTAATTGGAATCAAGTCGGCAATGCACGTTCCAGGCTTCTTGTCATCCGTGGCAACCTCAAAGCTGCTGCTTACAGCGACCAGGTACTGGCACAAAAACTTCTGCCTTTTATGGCAGGACATGGACCCGGTTTGATCTTCCAACACGACAATGCCAGACCCCACACAGCAATTTTGACAAGGAATTTCCTTCAGAATGCGGGAGTCAACGTCATGGACTGGCCGTCAAGGTCTCCCGACCTCAATCCCATCGAACACGCCTGGGATGCTCTTGGCAGAAGTCTGCGCACTCTCCAGAACCAACCACAGAATTTGCAAGATCTTGGCACCATTTTGCAGCAACAATGGCGTCGTCTTCCCAATCATATGTTCACAAGCATTACAAGGTCCATGCGGAGGCGTTGTGTGGCAGTTCTCAACGCACATGGTGGCCATACACGCTACTGAACTTGTGTGCCATCAGATTCTCGTGCTTCGGACTTATGATGTCAACTGTTGATGTTATTACCGAATACCGTAGGTGCTTGGAACAAATTATGGTTACCAACGTTAATTAAAATCCTTCTTTGGACATTAATGATTAAAAATTACCTTCTCTGATAATCTGTCCGTTGTATATCATATATGGGATTACTTTTAAAAATGTGAAGTTTTTAATTTGACTCAGTATATATATATATATATATATATATACTGTAAACAGGGAATTTTTTGCGACCGTTTTATTTTTGCGAGTTTTGCTTACGAGACTCAATCGCAAAAATTAAAAACGCAAAAAAAAGTATAAATAATACATACATACTTTATTCATTGCAACACGTCATCAAATGTTGAAATCATCAACCAGAACCACACGTTACTCAATAAGTTAAAAACACAAATGAATGCAGAATGGTCACACAATACATCACAAATGACAGTGTAAACAGACCAGTCAGTGTCACTGTTACCTCACAGTAATCCTGCCTTCTTCCAGCCTCGCTTGATTGCGTCAGTGTCCTTTGCAATTTTGTCCACAATTTTGTTTGCATTCAAACTCAGTCATGACACTGAGTTGAGTCAATTATCGTATTTGATAATTGGTCGCAATCCCTTCCGGTCAACTTTCCGGCCAACTCAGATTAACTAGCTTCGGAGAGAAGCTGTCTATTGTTTGGTAATCGAGAGGTCATCTCAACACGGCAACTCGCAAAAATATCTCATCGCAGTATTGTCTTTGGCGTGGTATTCGCAATATTTCAACGGCGCAGAAATAAAGCTGTTTACTGTATATAAAGATTATGAGATATTGGTTAAGCGTACTGAATGTGCCATCAAATAGGTTCCAAAAAGTTATAATATGATGGTAGTCTCTGATGAACATGGAAAACCAAATTGGGTAAGAGACTTGCTATTATCCGTTAGTTATGGCTATGTATGGTGTGAAAAAAATATACAATGTCATTCTTATTTCATTAGATATTGACACAAAGACCAAAAGATATATATTTACAAAATTGGTCTCAACCTGTATCTGAATTAAACAAATGTATTTATTACAAAATGGTAAAACAGGATTTATATACAGAACAGTATTTATCTTGTTTAAATGTGAAACAAATCCGGGTTTCCTTAGCAAGATTTCGATGTTGTTCACATGATCTATTTATTGAAACTTGGCGTTACACGGTTATTAAAAGAGAAGAACGCATTTCTCATGATCAATAGTGCGCCCTGAATGACATTGAAGATGAATATTCTTTTTATATGCCCATGTTATGCAACATTGAGGACTAAGTATATACCTGAATATTACTATGTCAATCCCAACTTCTTTAAATTCACATATCTGTTAAATTCAAAATTCTTAATTTTACAAAATTTATCTATGTACATTTATCATGTAATGAGACGCAGGACAAATATTATGTTATAGACTCTACTTCTCTGACTGTACTTATTATAAATGTACTATAGGCCTGTGGCCTCCTCAGTACGGAAAAAGACATCGAATGTATTCGACGGGGGTTTAGATAATATTTCAATTTATTACTATATTATTTAGCATTTCATAGGAGTTTCACCAACCTCATTCGTTGCAGATGAAATGGGTGTACGTTGGCATTTTCTCTGACAATGAAGAAGAGTTTATAGACGGCTACGTTATCCAGTCCGACCCTAGCGGTATCAAGGCCACCTGGTTTGCCATGGACAGTGAGAGTGGCATCAAGTCGTACATGGTGGCCATTGGAACCACTCAAGGTTTGTATTCCCCAAATATGAGGAACACAATGCTGTCCTAACTATAACCATTTTGTTCTGGAATTATGTCAGAACCAAAGTCTAATATTCTTAAAGAAACTCTGTGATGTAATTGATATAAACTGCTCGCAGAGTAAAAGGTCTGTGGTTCGATTCCCTCGTCGCTTCATACCAAAATACGTTTAGAGATGGTACTGGTGGTTTCCCTTATTTAAGGGGATAAAACGAGAACTGGTTGAAACAGTATACATTATACTGTGTCTGAGTGGAGTATCCACATTAAAACTGTAGCGTTGTTTCTCGGTAGGCAAGGACTATAAAATCAGCGTAGTACAAGCACATACACGTGCGCGCAATCTAGTTGGTTGTATATTCTGAACTATTTTTCAGGGGGTACTGATATCCTAAACTGGAAGGACTTTGGTTCTGACAGAGACAAATACATGGACGAGTTGACCTTGAATGTGACCGACCTTGACACGATGACCCCAGTTTACTACGTGTCTGTGAAAGCGAGCAACGGAGCCGATCTGACCAGTGACGTCATCACATCAAACCCCATCCGGGTCGTTGACCAGGACAAGGCAGGTATGCATCTTCATTTGTGTACATTTGTCATCAGCTTCGTCGTTGTCGTCGTCATTATCGTTAACGTCATCGTCGCCACTATCGATTAGTGATAAAATAAAACGTATATATGATATCTTTGCATTTTCTCATACATTAACACTGAAGTAAATCTCTATCCCAAGGTATTGTCATCGATGGCGCCGACTTGACCGAGAGAGACAACTTCACGGGCATCGGTAGCGACATGGACTACCAGAAAGACACAGGAGTTGTGACGGTACAGTTTGCCGGGTTTGAGAGCCATGAGCACGGTCTGACGTACTATGACTGGGCGGTGGGCACGACACCTGGTGGCGAAGAGGTGCAACCGTTCATCATGGCGGGTCTCATGCATGAAGAATCAGAGACCAATGTTTCTGGAAATGGTAGGTTGAACATATTTGCAGACACGCAAAGGTTTTGAATATTTTATTCTTATCCTCCGAATAGAATCCAAACATTGTACACATGCATTCTTTTTTACAGATGTCGTTCGATGCCTTACAATACCCTACATTACTCTTTACCAGCAACATGACAAGCGCTGAAAAACATACTTGCGCATCCTTGCATGTTTGGACAATACACGTGCTACAGAATTAATGAATTTATGTTTTGATTTATTCTAATTTGTTTTCGAGAATTCCTTGTTATAATATACTGAACAGCATTGAAAACGCACCAGCATAAAATCTTGAAATATTACAAAAACAACTTGAGCAATGACCGATTTTAATTAGAACAGACATAGACGGAATATTAAGAAAGACGACAAAGGAAACAGGAATACCACACAGTAATTACAATTACGTCATCAGTGTAAGGAAGACACATAGGGTTAAAATGAAAAGTCAATATCTGGTATCTCCGCCATTGACAGCAACACAGGCCATGCAACGTCTTCTCTTTGATCGAATAAGTCTGCGAATAGTGTTCTGGGGCATTCCACTCTTGACGTAGTGTATCTTCAAGTTCTCTCAGGTTCTGTACTTGCAGACAACGTGAGAGGCGTTGACCCTGGTAATCCCATAGATGTTCAATTGGCGATAGATCGGGTGACAGGGCTGGCCATCGAAGCAGAGGCACATTATTGTTCGCTAGGTACTGTGTTGAAACACGTGCTGTGTGCGCTCTTGCATTATCTTGCTGGAAAGTGTGCATATCCTGGTGCTGATGAAAGAATGGGATGACGTGATTTGCCAATATGTTATTCCTGTAGTAAAGGGCATTTACTCTTCCACGACAAACATGGAGCTCTGTTCGATGGTTATGACTGATGCCGCCCCACACCATGACACTCCCTCCCCCCCATCGACGTCTACGTACGGTGTCAGCACTGATCAATTCCGTCGGCCTTGTACGGTTGCTGCAGTCCTGGTAGCCGGAAGTGTACGATCACGAAGATGCCGACGAACAATATGGCGATCCTGACGTGGTGTAGTTACACGACGTTGACCCGGACGTGGTCGATCTCTGGTGGTTCTTGTCTTCTGGTATCTGTTCAGTAGCCTGAGGACTGTTGAATGATGGCATTGAAACCGTTGTGGAACGACTCTTCTTGAGGTAGCAACTTGAAGCATGCCCAAGGGACGTTAACGTTCCTCTGCTGTTAATCTTGGCATTTCTTGTGTCAGTACCCTTTACGTCTGCAGCAACAAGTGATGTGGCTTTTAAAAGTCTGTCTTTTATAGCCCTATTCTGCATGCTTCCCTTGAAACGAAACACGTTTTCCATGATGTGCACGCAATTTGTTGCGTTTTGGCGATTTCTCTCACAAAAAAATTAGGAATGTGTTTTGACGAGCTGTTCTTGTTCATGCTTCGTCCAGAACGTCGTATATTACTCATTCACTTATATATTTTCATATGACTTAAGCCCGGATAAAAATACATCCATTTTCATGGTGGTGCGTTTTCAATGCTGTTCAGTATATATAACAACATATTTTCAGGTATCGCAAGCATGGGATTTGGCCAGGCTGTCCTCCCACTGTCATCCGGCACGACATACTACACCACAGTCCGCGGCATCACCAACGCTGGTAACATCCTGGAATCTTCGTCAGATGGATTTACTGTTGATATTACGGCTCCTGAAATTCACATCGAAAGGTAGACACATATACAAATCATTATTCGGACTTTTCCCTTGTGGATTGCCAACACCGTGTCCAAATACGTTAAGAGTTAACAGATGGCAGTTCCAAAATAACTATCTCATTAAGTATGATATTGCTATTTAGTTAAGTAGCAATGTATACTCACCCAATATGTCATTTTCAAAGTGTGCTTGATTGAAATCAAGAAGAAAAAGAAGTTTAATCAATACTCTGCTGCCTGACCGAATGTAATGAGCAGGCTTGTTTCTTATCGAAGACAAAACAACTAGATACACAGGTAGCCAAAACATCACATATCGTTACCAAAGCATTGTTGAACTATGGTAATGAGAACAAGCAGAGAAATCTGACCCAGCAAAAACAGGTACCTCATGATCAGCAAAACATGGTTCATTTTTCACTCGTAACCACATTTTAAGGCTCTGAGAACAACCATAGCGGACTGACCACAACAACGTCTAGTTAACTACTCATTGTTCTTGTTTGACTAGAAGCGATGATTCTGAGAAAATGAGAGCAGACTTACCCAAACAGTTTACAACTAAAAGACACATGCACAACTAACTAAACATTGATCTTGTTTCCCTCACAGGTATGGTTCTTGGAACAATCAGTGCAACCTGGTCTCAAACGCTATGTACTGTCAACTAAATATTGTTTATGTTTCCCTCGCAGTATTGGTTCTCAGAACAACCAGAAAGATTTCCTTCAAACGCTGTGCACGTCAACTGTCCGTGTGCGCCTTGCAGCTATGGTCCTGCAAACAATTAGATAAACCGGTCTCAAACTCTATATACCTCCACTAACTAAGCTCGTTCTTGTTTCCCCCGCAGCTATGGCTCTGAGAACAACCAGAGCAGACTGACCCCCACCACGACACTGTACCAATCTGAGGTGGACTCCATCTCCTCCTCCTGGAAGGCTGCAGACAGTGAGAGTCCAGTCAAGAAGATGTACTACTCTCTTGGGACCTACCCTCACGGGGAGGATGTCCAGCCCCGGACTGACGTGGAGATCCTGCTGACCGGCGAGGGGTCTCTACCCACTGGCATCAAACCCACAACTGATGGTAAGAACTGGCGGTGATGAGGAATAAAGTAATGAATTAAATATGAACTTCTTGCGCTTGGTAATATTGCATGAACAAATTATAAGATGGGTCAAGACTGTTAATCTATTTTGCTAGTAGGCGTTGATCGTACTGATCGATTTTCTCGCTAATGCAGTAAGAATGATTGGTGGCGTTTCCATACCAATACAAGATAGACTGCAAACTATGAAATACCCTGACACCAATAGTCTTCTTCATCGAACTTTTATGCAAATCTTGTTTCTGTCAAATGTTGAGTTTTATTTTGTATCTGTTCAGTGCAAAGCTGGCATGAATTTGGTATATTAAAATAGTTGTATCAAATATATGTTTCAGGAAAACCAAACATTCTGACTTTGACAGCCGAAAATGAACTTGGGTTGTCAGCCAGCATTATCTCCCCTTATCTTGTGGTGGACACCTCATCCCCAACAGAGGGGGTGTTGACATGTCCAAGCTTCATTCAGGTATTACCTATAAGTCAATCTGGAAATCCTGGTCAGACTCCTGTTCTTCATGCTTGACCTGAAAACCGACTTATATAGGGATCAAGTGGTCAAGCTCAGTGACTTGGCTGACTGTTTCAGGCAATAGTTTGCTTTGTCCAGACTCGATTATTCACAGGCAGCAATTGTATAATGAGAATAGTGCTGAGTGCACCTGTAAACTCTCACTCCATCACATCAATGGTCAGTGCTCTGCAAATCACAAATTTTCAATATTCGACACCAGAAGGTTTTTCATTCCATAACATGGACCTTAGGATAAAACGTGCTATTGTAGTAATTATACATTATGTATTATGCATTACTAGTTAATGGTCCGATAGTGTGTTACGGTTTTATCTGAGGAAGAAATTGTTTCAAACATTTACATTGTTTCTGTAAATGCAGCCGAGATCTGCAGTGGAGTGCACATGGACAGGGTTCTACGATGCCGAGAGTCAGGTTGTAGAGTTTGAGTTTGCTGTAGGCTCCCATGAGGGGCTGGAGGACGTCATAGCACCTGTCAAACTGCCGGGACATGCTGCCAAATATCTAGTCTCAGGTACAGAACGTATAACTGTATCTGTGTGTTTCGGGTTTCAACCATTATAAAACAATTGTGATTACCATTCTAGATTTATGTTTGACACAATGTAAAATGTTAATTTTATCTTATCCTGACTCATACTTATTGCTTATCTCTCTCTCTTCCGAATAGGTAGTGGAAACGTCCTGTGCTGTTCCCAAAGAACAGAGAAAACAGCTCACCCAAACGCACCCTCACTCTGCGCATGCGCACCGGAACCATGTGACCAAGCCCAGTAACTCATCACTCTCTCTTTTTCGCGCCATCTTGGCAGCTGGAAATTTTTTGCTGTGCATCGTAATCCAAGCTTTCCTTAAAAATTCACCCTTTTAACAATTTTTTTTTTGCTTGGATTATCTTCTGTGGTATTATAGTAATATAAGTATAGTATTTAGTAATTATCTTTTTGCAGTGCTGAGGGAAAAGATGGATCTTAAACGACGTGAGTCATCACGCTCGTTATCATCCACGGAGACGGCTAAAAGTAAGAAGAGGCGAGAATACGCCCTGCCCTTCGTCAGAGGAATTCGATTTGATATTATTCAAATTACCCCGCTGAATATGATGCAGTCATCTTACTTCCTCGTCTACCAGTAAGACGTCTAGAGGGTCTAAGAATAAACAGAGTTCATCCGCAGTCATGAAGGGGGTTTCAAGAAAATCAGCTGTTTCTTCTAGCCAGAAGAAAGCCTGCGCGCAGACAATGACGTCCGCACAACCCCAGAGGTTTGCGCAACCGGCAGTGTCATCCAATTAGGCTACAAATACAACCGATATATACCTCAATCAGCCTCAGACCTTCGCGCAGATACCGGCCTTCGCGCAGCCCAACACAACAATTACGCAATCCCCTACCTTCGCGCAGGCGCCAGCCTGCGCGCAGGCTATTAATCAACAAGAGTATACACAGACGCCAGCGTTCACGCAGGCTCCCACCTTCGTGCAGCCTTCACGCAGGTTCCCGCCTTCGTGCAGCCTTCAACGTTTACACTACCAACTACCTTCACGCAGCCTACCTTTTTTACACCAGGTACTTGGCTAACGCCTGCTGTTAATACAGATGTGATAGCAAATATCACACAAGAAGTCGTAATGGCTATGCAACAACAAATGTGTAAACAACCTGGCACGCAGTCGACTACCTCTTCACACAATAGCTCGCAGATGTCGCAGCCTTCATTTACGGCTCCGAATCCTAACGCCTCCTATCTTCTGAGAGAGGAGGATATGTTCGAGCCCCCTCAAAATGAGGACACATCGGGGGAAAATTACACTTCAATTAATGAGGATCATGAATTAATGGCGTGGATTACAGATAGACGGCCGATATCATCACCGTCAAGAAATTCTTCTCCCACTGATACATACTGTATCAAAGGGGACGATATAGACACACTAACCATCCCACCGATAAAACCAATCTCCAACATTGCAGAGAATCTTGCGAAAGCCACGAAATCACAAGGACTTCAAATACGGAGCTTTAATTCTAAGAAATTCCTCATGCACGCCATGTCGCATTTTCTTCGCTCACCGGAGATTGATGAAGATTACTCACTCATGTCAGACTCCAAAAGTAAAAAATCTTATCGCATTGAGGATAAGAAAATTACACAACTTGATACGACTACAAGACATGCATTCTTTGGAAAAGCGTTGTCACGCGCTATGAGCCCCAGAACGACCTCGAAAGAATACTACTTTCAGCTCTCGTCAATCAAACGAAAAATCAAGAAATTATTTCTGATCATATGAGTTCAGTGTCGGCAGGTTTAACACTACTACAGCGACAAGGTCTTATAAATATTTCTAATTGGTATACTATACCAAAGAATTATTAAGACAACCCTGGGAGTCTCCAACCATTTTTAATGGTAACATACGCAAAATCAACAAAGAAGTGCTTTAAGACTCCAAAGATCATATGCTGATCAAGTCAGTTCAGACTATGAATTCCATTTTTTCGTCAATCCATGCAGAAAACCCAAATCAAAAGCCATATGACGGGCATTCAAAAAGACAAAAGAGCAACGCTCGTACAACTACAGAGGCGGGAAATCATCTGCTTTTCGCAAGTCACATGACACGTCACGTGATGCCGACCGCGGCCGCAGATCGAGGTGATCTCGCAATATTACCGGCGAAGATGGGCTTTTGAACGACAGGGAACTCCCCCCACCAGCCGTCCATGTACAGCATTCCCCAGTAGACGGAAGATTGGCAAGATATTGGATGAATGTGGGACATTCTAGGAGACGAATTTGTTTCCAACTTTCCAGGAAGGGCTACGCGGCGACTTTACTCAAGAAATCCCCGTTATCTCGCAAGCCACCGAAAATAACCAATCAGAATCTGATAATGGTACCAGAAGATCGGTGGATAAAAATCAAGACTGGTTTGCCAACAGCAATTTACAAGAAAATCTCAGTCAACGAATGGCAAGTGATACTAGGCTGACTCACGTCAGCCCAAGCGTGGACGGTCCGAGGCAGACTACACTTACGCCCTATTCAGAGATTTCTAAATCCATACCTAGAGTACCAGGATTTAAAACTGCAACTACCACAAACATTGAGGAAACACCTCTTATGGTGGACAGTGAAATCGAACGTTTGCGCAGGAACTTGTTTAAACGAGCCGGATTACAACAACCACCTATTCGTGGACGCCTTACTTCAAGGTTGGGGAGCTCACTTCAACAGAGAAGTAACAGCAGACCTATGGTTAGAAGCAGAAAAGCTCGACCACATCAATTATCTGGAATGTGAGGCAGTAATCCGTGCATTATTTCACTGGGCCCCACAGTTAAGAAACCAACGTCTGATGATCAGAACAGACAATTCAACTGTGGCATACAATATAAACCTTGACCCTCCTGAAGTTGACATTTCAACTTTACGAGCTAGAAGACAATCTGAACTTAAAAATAAAAACAAGACATATACCAGCAGTGGCAAATGTCTTAGCAGACGCCTTCACAGACGCCTTCACCAGACCAGCCAAACCATCACCGACAATGGAAGCTACACCCAGAAGCATTCCAACTGGCTATAAAAGAAAAAGGTTGCCCATTAGATAGACCTATTCGCAACCAGATTCAACAATCAGATAACAACATTTGTATCACCAGTGCCAGACCCACTAGCTTGGTCAGTCGATGCTCTGTCAATATCATGAGAGGGACTAAACGCGTATGCGTTTCCTCCACCAGCCATGATACCACAGATATTACAAAAGATCCTACACACGAGCAGCCTACAACTGCTTTTGGTAGCGCCTTACTGGCCGGCGATAACGTGGTTTCCAGATCTCGTCGAACTAGCAGGGAATACAATGTTAAAACTTCCAAACTGGCCAAATCTACTGCTACATCCTCACTCCAATCAGGTCCATCCAAGACCAGATCTTTACGAACTTCACGTATGGAGCATATCAAGAGCAGTCTCGTTAAAAGAGGATATTCCATAAGAGCAGCTAAGGCAGTCTCCTTAGCACTTCGTAGATCAACGAGGAATCTCTATGTTGATAAATGGAAAAGTTTTGACCAGTTTGCAACATCCAAGGGTTTTTCTGCAGCCAAAGCTACTATACCACAAGTAGCAGATTACCTATGTCACTTACGAAGTACAAGGCATCTTAAAGGTTCGACACTGGCCACTTATTTGGCCGCTATCAGTTCTGTACTGACAATGGCTAACGGGATAAAACTTACTAAAGTTCCCGAGCTGATAGCCCTACTCAGATCCTTCAGACTTGAGGACCAACAGAAAAGATTTAGAGCCCCAGCATGGGACCTAAATATAGTGCTACAACACCTAACCAGTGATGCATACGAACCGCTCCAACAGGCCGACTTTGAACACCTGACGCAGAAAACCCTATTTCTTCTGGCATTAGCTACGGCAGCCAGAATGTAAGAAATCCACGCGATAGACTTCAATCGCATCACATTTGACAGTGGTAACAACTCATCAGCGCCCCTTGGCTTAAGATGGGACTTTATTGCAAAGAACCAGTTACCAGGCCAACCAGACAGACAATTCCACATTCCGGCTCTTTCCTCCGTCCTTGATGCAGAGGATACAGAGGATTTATCACTATGCCCTGTCAGAGCCTTAAGATTATACCTACAAAAGTCTAAACCTAGAAGACAAGGTTTTAAGAGACTATTTATTCCTTTATTAAGGAATACACACACAGAGGTATCCAGAACAACTATCTCATTTTGGATGAGAGCTGTTATTCTCAGAGCATACAGAGCAGCGGGATTGGACCCCCCTTCAGCCTCCAACCTGCACGAAGTAAGGGCCTTAGCCTCAACTTTGGCACTTCACGGCAACTGCTCCATAACAACTATTATGGAAGGCTGTTTCTGGAAATCAGATACAGTTTTCGCCAATCACTACCTCAGAGACCTTGCTACAGAAGACTTAGCTGGTATTCACCAATTCGGACCATTAGTTGTGGCACAACAACTCACGAATCCTACCAGACGACATTAGAAGATCACACTCACCCAATATCACGTAGACTTGTTGACGTCAGGTTACTGTTCCATAACCAACGACTGAGAGTCCATGCCCCCTATTTTACTATGTAATTCAGCACATGGGTGAGAATTGATTGTGTTAAGATTATTGCTCTTCTCTTAACACCCTAATCGTTTAAGGTGAACAAGATTTATCTTAGAAACCTTATAAATCCACAAATCTATATGATTTACTTCCATTTTGCTGCTCACAAAAAAGGAAGGTGGTCCCCAATTAAGAATTTACACAGAAGATTAACAACGTTCCTATGGGGTTTATAGAACAGATCGACGTTTATCACACATACAGGTGAAACCCACCACCTACTGTGAGATTCAAGCAATAAGTATTAGTCAGGATAAGATAAAATATGTATTTTTTAGAGTAAAAATATCATTTATACTTATCCTGACTCATACGAATGAGTACCCTCCCGGCCTTCCCCTCTTTCCACTGATGTGTTTCGACCATTAAGTAGGAAATAAGAGAGTGTGATGAGTTACTGGGCTTGGTCACATGGTTCCGGTGCGCATGCGCAGAGTGAGGGTGCGTTTGGGTGAGCTGTTTTCTCTGTTCTTTGGGAACAGCACAGGACGTTTCCACTACCTATTCGGAAGAGAGAGAGAGATAAGCAATAAGTATGAGTCAGGATAAGTATAAATGATATTTTTACTCTAAAAAATACATTTTCATGACAATAATGAAAATGAAAAATACAACGGCTTGTAATAAATTGGCAACGTTTTCATACTTAGGCTTAGCGGATAAGGTGACACATGGTCAGAGTTACTACGCCAAGGTCAAGGCCATCAACCAAGTGGGAATGACGTCATCTAGCATCTCCAACGCCATCAACGTTGACACCACACCCCCATCGCCGGGCACTGTGGTGGAGTTGAAGTCTGTTTACATCATCAACGTCACCGACGAGATCATCACCGAGAAACTCAACACCTACAAGTGTGACACACAGGAAGGTGGGCGCCACCATTATGTCACTTATAAATTTCTACATAGATATACATTGTAGCATGACGGCCCATCATGTATGTGATTATTTTACTGGTACTGAGTAACTGTGGACATGCATCAGAAAGCAGAGATTGGGTTCCATTGACCGGTTTATCTTTGACAAGTTACTTGGATCTATGATTGGTTGGTTGGTTTGTTGTTTAACGCCGCACTCAGGGATATTCCAGCAATATGACGGCGGTCTGTTCATAATTGAGTCTGGACCAGACACTCCAGTGATTAATATCATGAGCACCCATCCACGCAATTCGGATCGATGACATGCATCAACCAAGTCAGCGAGCCTGACCACCCGATCCCGTTAGTCGCAGGGTCGCCTTTTACGGCAAGCATTGGTTGCTGAAGACCTATCCTACCCCGGATCTTAACGGGTCTGGATCTATGTTAATACTTATTTTTTTCTGGAATAGTATCATACAAGTGAAATGTCCTAAGTAAATATTTACTGTTAACTATTTACTGTTGTCTTCTGTTATGTGTGATATTACTACTCCTACACTATGTGTTACATTACTACATCCTACACTGAGTGTAACATTACTACACCCTTTACCATGTGTTACATTACTACATCCTACACAATGTGTTTCATTACTTCATCCTGCCCTGTTACATTACTACATCCTTCACAATGTGTTACATTACTACATCCTGTACTATGTGTTACGTTACTACCTCCTACACTATGTGTTACATTACTACATCCTGTACTATGTGTTACGTTACTACCTCCTACACTATGTGTTACATTACTACATCCTGTACTATGTGTTACGATACTACCTCCTACACTATGCGTTACATTACTACATCCTACACTATGTGTTACATTACTCCATCCTACACTATGTGTTACATTACTACATCCTATACTCTGTGTTACATTACTACATCCTACGCTATGTGTTACATTACTACCTCCTACACTATGTGTGACATTACTCTATCTTACACTATGTGTTACATTACTACATCCTACACTGTGTTACATTACTACATCCTACACTGATTGTTACATTACTACATCGTACTCTATGTGTTACATTATTACATCCTACACTGAGTGTAACATTACTACATCCTATACCCTGTGTTACATTACTACATCCTACGCTATGTGTTACATTACTACCTCCTACACTATGTGTGACATTACTCTATCTTACACTATGTGTTACATTACTACATCCTACACTGTGTTACATTATTACATCCTACACTGATTGTTACATTACTACATCGTACTCTATGTGTTACATTACTACATCCTACACTGTGTTACATTACTACCGTGTACACTATGTGTTACATTACTACATCTTTCACAACTGTATGTCCACAGACTGCCTGGCTATAGACGCGGTGTGCCAGGAGTCTCTGTCCACTGTCAACGTGGCCTGGCAGACCTTCACTGATGACGAGACGGAGATTGTCAAGTACGTCATGCTGACAGTCATTCAATATGTTCTGAACCCGCAGTATTTTAGTAATGCAGGAAGAAAGCATAAAGTAAACTGATAGCCGCTTTGCACAGATACATGTAGAACTGAGCACTTCCTGTATGATAAGACTATATCAAAGTACAAGAGAAACATCTTCTCTTCAATTTTACCTATATACAGCTTTGTTGTGCTTCTCATTTCGACGTTTTGGCTTCTCCAGATATGAGATAGCTGTTGGCACTTCACCTGGAGGGGGACAGCTGAGGGGGTTCTTTGAGACTGATAACGTCACAAAGAGATACCTGTCAGTCACGGGCCTGATACTGAAGGGAGTGAGACAGGTTAGATAACTCTTGACTCTTGACTCTTGACAAAAGGGATATCCCTGAGTTGTATATGTAGTTTGTGTCATGTCTACAAGATAGGTAATGTGTTATTCTGGACATCACTTCCATAATAAGCATCACAGGGGAAACTAAGTTCGGATTTACTAGGAACACACAACGCATCCAATGATGAATTTCAAATTACAGATATTTGTGACAGTAAAAGCTACCAATGGAGCTGGCCTCAGCACAATATCCACATCTAACGGTATCTACATGTCCTACCTCAGTCAGGGCTTGGAGCCGCTCACTCATGTTGGAATCTGGGATGGCGACAGTCACGATGGAGACATGTGAGTGTTGTCTGTAAACACAGCTTCAGGGTAATCTCTCTCAAAGCATGATACCAACAACTCGGACCCACAAGATACACTGAGAAAACGCCCAGGGTCAGGTAATATCATCATCTTCATATGCAAAGATGATTCAGTATCTAATTTGTAGTTGACCTTGTTTCTCTACAGTGACTTCCAGACAAGTCTGTCCCGAATGGGGGCCAAGTGGGACGTGTCAGGTGACCCGTGTCCAGTGGTCAAGTATGCGTGGGCAATACAAAGGGCTGACGGTCTGAGGGTCCAGGAGTACTTCAATACAGAAGGTGGGCGTTGTGATTGCAGCTGACACTGATCACATGTCTTAATACTGGAGGCTTTTGCACAGATGTATTTCGAGGACCCAATAGCCAATGATTGGACTGAAAACAGTTTGTTTTCATTGCTGAGCTCAGTTAAAAAAACAAAATCAGTTCTGTTCTCCATTTGTGAACTTCTCTGTTGACGGAACTAATAAGGAGCCTATACCTTTCTGATGTTTTGAAGTTTTCAGCTTGGTACGCAAAACTAAAATATATTTTACTTGTTCAGCACCAGTTTGCTGTATCTCTGTTGTTTGTTGTGGTGGATCTAATGAATTGCTCTGAATTCCAGGAAGAATTCATGGCGTCAACGACCAACTGAGCATGCAGAACATGGAACGCTACTACCAGTACCTACGGGTGACCAACTCCATGGACTACACCTACACCATCAGGTCGAACGGCATCACCATCGAGGATGACCCCCTGGTGCCTGGACAAGTCAATGATGGAGATGTCGTGGGATTTGACCTCGAGTTCCTCCGAACTAAAAATAAAGTCAGCGCCAACTGGGACAAGTTTGGTAGCGATGGCATCACCGACGACGTGTCAACTGGAATAAAAGCTGGTTAGATAATGTTTGTGCAATATTAATTTCCGTATCTCCATACAGATGTTGAGATTAGGATAGTCTTCCCGTCACTCTTCTAGGAACTCAAGAAGAAAATATAAAAAGAATTAAAGAACAATAAGATAATTAAACCAAAGCTGTATGCTCAAAGATTCAAATGTATTTGCTTGTGTTTTCGAAATAAAGGGCGTTTTCACCTTTTCGTCGTAGATGAGGACAAAGAGAAATCTTCAAACCAAGAAGTCGCTTTCTACGAGGTTGCTGTTGGAACTGACCGCCGTTTCCCCAAAACACGTGACAACGTTGTGCCGTTTGTCAACGTTGGCCTCAACAAGACTGTGACCTTCTACGACCTTGACCTCACCCCCATCACGGCAATGTATTACTTCACTGTGAGAGCACACAGCCGTTCCGGGTCTAGGACTGACGTCACGTCCAATGGCTTCTCTGTTGGCTTTGATGGAGGAGTCTCTGGTGAGACCTTCACTTTTCCAGAAATTGTAGAACCACGTAGCTTGATATATGTAGAAAAATTAGACATTACGCAGCAAGAGTATCATATGGTACTTACTGGTAACACTCTGTCAAATCTTAGTCAGGACGTATACAAAGACGACTAACAAAGACACCTTAAAGTGAACCATCTACTAACATTTGTCTCCTGTTTGCTGCTGCTGTGTGACAATATATAACGTATCGATCCATGATAGTGAACACCACTGCCTGAACACATCTCATCACCTTGTGTTTCAGCCGGTTTCATCGACATGAAGGAATTTGTCAACACTTACACTTTCGTAGATGTACCTTGGGGTGGGTTCGAATCCAAGATCGGCATGATGATGTACTACGTGGGTCTGTCCAACAACACGGAGGCGGGCAACTATAGATGTGGACAGTTTGTGAGTATAGATGTCAGACAACTATAGATGTGGACAGTTTGTGAGTATACATGTCAGACAACTATAGATGTGGACAGTTTGTGAGTATATATGTCAGACAACTATAGATGTGGACAGTTTGTGAGTATACATGTCAGACAACTATAGATGTGGACAGTTTGTGAGTATAGATGGCAGACATCTATAGATGTGGACAGTTTGTGAGTATACATGTCAGACAACTATAGATGTGGACAGTTTGTGAGTATACATGTCAGACAACTATAGATGTGGACAGTTTGTGAGTATAGATGGCAGACATCTATAGATGTGGACAGTTTGTGAGTATAGATGGCAGACATCTATAGATATGGACTGTTTGTGAGTATAGATGGAAGACAATTATAGATGTGGACAGTTTGTGAGTATAGATGTCAGACAACTATAGATGTGGACAGTTTGTGAGTATACATGTCAGACAACTATAGATGTGGACAGTTTGTGAGTATATATGTCAGACAACTATAGATGTGGACAGTTTGTGAGTATACATGTCAGACAACTATAGATGTGGACAGTTTGTGAGTATACATGTCAGACAACTATAGATGTGGACAGTTTGTGAGTATAGATGGCAGACATCTATAGATGTGGACAGTTTGTGAGTATAGATGGCAGACATCTATAGATATGGACTGTTTGTGAGTATAGATGGAAGACAATTATAGATGTGGACAGTTTGTGAGTATAGATGGCAGATAACTATAGATGTGGACAGTTTGTGAGTATAGATGGCGGGCAACTATAGATGTGGACAGTTTGTGAGTATAGATGGCAGACTACTATAGATGTGGACAGTTTGTGAGTATAGATGGCAAACAACTATAGATGTGGACAGTTTGTAAGTATAGATGGCGGGCAACTATAGATGTGGACAGTTTGTGAGTATAGATGGCAGACAACTATAGATGTGGACAGTTTGTGAGTATAGATGACAGGCAACTATCGACGTGGACAGTTTGTGAGTATAGATGACCGTCGCAGCAAGTATGCGTATCTATTCTGTGGCAAGCGTAATTTAAAATCTGAGTTCCATCGAAAGACCTAATGTTGGTGATATGTTTCAGACTGAAAGAGGCTCCATCACTGACAATGCACGGCAAGGTATTTTCAACATTGTGGACCTACAAAATGTCGGGAAGGACACATTCATGAAGTTTGAAAATCTGTCTCTTGAGCAGAATGGAGTCTACTATGCTTGGGTTGTCGGTAAGTTGAAGCAAAAAGGCAGATACATAGTGTTAAGCCCCATCTTATACTACTTAAGCTGCTAAAGACGTAAATAGAAATATGTAACGACAGATAATAATGAGGTGATAAAGGGAAATACAGATGCGTGAACGGAATGTTATATCCGGAACTATATTTACGTCTTTTGGGAAAGGTTGTGTTACGAGCTGTTTTCCAAATTGGAACGCAGAGGTTAACCCAGAAATCAGTTCGCACAGAATAAAATTGTGAAGCAAGTATACATGTATGACCACACTAGATCAATGAATAAACAATAAATCCCATTTAAACACAAATTTCAGGTTTACAATAAAAGATTCAATACGAAACAGGCCCTAGATTAATATTAGTTAATTTATAGATGTTCCGTATATTGCCACTGTTGAAGGTCGTGAAAAAACCCCTCTCTTTAACTAAAAAAAGGTAATAGAAGCTGGCAGTCATTCAGTATCCAAACAGTATTTGGCAAGTAGATTAGAACGAAGCCAGGTAGAAAATGCATCAAATCGCCCTCACGTCGCTCTTATCAAGGTACAGCCAGCCTTCTAGAAGCTGCCCCTTCCAGAAACTCCTCGAATGATCAAGCCTGCCATGTTCATGTGCACAAGTGCAGATAGCTCTAATTCTAGTACACCATTATTCTTAAAAGCCCAACTTGCTGTTCAAATATGGCTACGACAGCAGTGGGTATTTGTGAATAGTAATACGATCATTCACTGCAATTGACACTTACTTCAAATAGATGTATGACTGTTGATACCGCCAATAATATTACTTACATATAAGAGCTGATAATTCTGATATATCTTTAGCTCATTGAGTAATTAATCATGTTTTGTCTTCATGCGCGTTTATTATCCCTGAGAAACTGTGACATTAGCATGCCTGTTTTGTGTTCATTATGGTATAACTTCACATCATTATTGATACATTTCTTTTCTAAATCTCATCTCAAGTCACAAAAACATGTTATTAAATTCACATTTTAGATACGGGGATATGCAGACTGCAGTTAAAATGTGTATCAATGCTGCTGACATATGTATCATTCATCCTCGCGTATGCGCCAATATCCCTGACAGCAACGTTTCATAATTAGGAATTTGATCCATACACAGGTGCAGACAAGGCCGGAGAGTGCAACGTGACTAGTCACATGTTCCAGGTGGACGTCACACCTCCAGTCAAAGGCAGGATCAGAACAGGGCCCTATTATGACATGGTACGTGACAGGGGCCAACTTCGTAAATCCAACTCTCTGTTCAGGCCATGCTTGCTAATAACCGTAGTATCATTACATGTTCTTAAAAGGTCTTGAAGATTGCATTGATATAAAGGCGTTCGAGCCAACCAGTTATCACTGTGTATGGATTTGTGGTTCACTCTATGTTTAGTGACAAGGTTTTATCAGGATGGCTAAATTAATTTTCTTTGATCAATACCTACTTCATAAAGGTTGTCTAGTTATCTTGTACAGCAGGACAGCCCACTAGAAGTAAGAACATTTCGAATTATATTGTTATAGCGACGGATTTAGGACAACCATTGTCTGAATGAATATTTAATTCCAAAGGCTTATTACCCTGGAACCATGTTATCTATATGCCTTGAAACACTTAATTACCGTTATTTATAAGATGCTAATCCTAACTGTTGATCCCCATTGTATTGTACATCAGTTGTCTGCCATGACCTTGGCTGTAAGCCTTGATCCTTGAGAGAGAGAGAGAGAGAGAGAGAGAGAGAGAGAGAGATCTTACTCTTAGCCTAGCTAGGGTTAGGCTGGGTGCTTCGGGGCACCAAGACAACAATCACAACCACAATGTGCTGACCTGGCACATAGTGTCTTTTGTATGTATATATCTACCTGTATAAAGTAAAATTATATATACTGCAAGCTATCGCCATCATGTTGTCACTTCCTACCTATAACCATACGCAGACTCCTAGCACATACGAGTATGCAAATTATTCGTTAGCAACGTCACGTGTGTCTGCAACGCAGTGCACCAACGCGTTGTTAATATCGTAGTACGTGAAACTCGACCACATGTAGACACATATTTGAGACTCATTTGATGTGTTTGCGTTCACTGTTACACTGGGGCATGTTATCGTTTCTTTCATATCAAATGAAAGAAATGGCCCGTGACTTTAGAAATCTTGTTTTTAAAAAAGTCTCAAAATTAAAAAAAAGTTCAGATGACCATACTTTGTTTCGTAAATAAAAACCTGCACAAAATCAGAAGAAAGGGAAAGTTGGCTATTGGAAAGTAAACATGTTTATGATGTTGTCGAAAGCTTACAATGGACGAGATTTCTTATCATTATTGAAATAGGTTTGTCACTTTTATGAATGATTTACCAAAAAATAGTAATGACACCAGGTATGCACACACCAGTGAACGTATCCTGAAATGGATATATCATAGAAACAATAGGACTAAAAACAAACAACATTATATGGGGGTGTATAATGTACTGTTACATTCGGCAGCAACTGAGTTACTCGGCGAGCAGTGAGAGTCTTCAGACCTACTGGACAGACTTCAGTGATGAAGACTCGGGGATCCGCTGCTACCACGCAGCCCTGCTGAAGAGAGCCTCCTGTGACAAAGACTCGGCGGAAGAAACTGTCGTAGATTCCATAGAGATTGATGTAAACTACACGTCTTATAAATTCATGGACATCACTATGCAGGTTGGTGATTTACAACAATTGGATGTAGATTATGACACGTCTACGGACGCACCCTAGATATTAAATTTTCACATTTTCTACTTCAAGGGCAACACTCCCTACTTTGTGCGTCTCGTGGTGGAAAACTTTGCTGGTCTCAAGTCAACATTAGACTCTCCACCGGTCCTGTATGACAGTTCCCTCCCCTCCTCCGGCCTCGTCATCGACGGGCACGACTTCACTCACGACATCAGCTGGAGCGGCTCTGCCAAAACCGTCACAGGTAACCCATATATATTACGGTTTTGTTTAGATACGTAGGTGCAGAAATGATGTGTGGGGTGTCTGATACGGTGAATGGTACTAAGTTGTGATAAAAAAGGCTGAAGTAATAGATGACATGTACCTTACATTCAGATTACATGACATTGGTGATGCCCTGGTGACCTGGCTGACTGCGCTACTCACTGTACAGGGACTAACCACTAGGATGTCTTCTCCAGTGTCGAGTATTTACAAGCCACGGCACCATAGTCGTACTTATTGCTGACCGTGACATAAAACAAGGATCAATCACTCCTGCGATCTATGCACTACGATGTAGCGGACACATAATTGCTCCAACCGTTTGTCAAGTAAAGAGAAATACTTGGAACCTACTTCATTTTAATCACTTACTTTCTGCTGTCTGCAGGCACATTCCTACACCACCCTGTGCCAGACGAGTCTCCATGTCCTGTCCGACTGGTAACATGTGATGACTCGGAGTGGAAGTACCTGGAGTCAGACCGGAACTACGACAGCAACAACCATAGCTTGACCTTGACCTACAGATCAGCCAACGTCCATCCCGAGTCCGGCAAAGTGGACATCAAACTGGTCAGAGACACCAAGACTGACACCATGTTTTCTGGAACCTACTTCAGAGATGCTGACCTTGTGAATGGCGGGGAGTATAAGGTATTATGATGCAAACAGGCAAATAGATCTTGTCACCTAATCCACCCAAATTAATCTTTCCAATCTGTGCTCGTTGGCAAAGTTACTGTGACCTAGTCAATGGCGGGGAGCATAAGGTATTAAGATACAAACTGTCACATAGATATTGTCGCCTTGTGTCTCAGGTATACTACTGATGTCTCACCCACTGACTCCGTGTGTTTCAGCTGTCTGTCCGAGCTGCAGCAGGTGATGGTCAGGCGGTCACCAGTGTCCTGTTCTGGGACGGCCCAGATGACTACATCCTGGACTATGACTACACACCAACACCGGACTGGACCAAGTCTGTCTGTGCCTGTTGCAGGGTGGAACCTGTTAATGCAGTATGAAGCCTTTCTGTAATCAACTCATTTCCTAACCCGTGCAGTAAAATAGCCTTCATTGTCTCAACGATTATAGCCAATATACCAACAATAACGAAACGGCGGTATCGCCCAGTAGTCAAAGCATTGAATCGTTATGCCAAAGATCTTTGTTCGGCTTAACACATGAAGTGAAACTAATTCTTGGTCTGTCCGTGTGTAACATAGCTAGCAAAATGCTTCAAAGCCGAAAGAATACACTCACTCACTCACTCACTCACTCACTCACTCATTCAAACATCCACGCACTCACCTATCCACCCCGCAGTCTTAGTCCTAGTCCTAGATGATATGTTCATAATCATCGTGGGCAAGGGTAACAGGGTAATTTGTGTCCCGTTAACGTGTCAAAAACCTTTGGTCGTGGCTTCGAATCCCAAATTCTCCATGTTTGTGTTTCTAGGTTTGTCACCCTGTGCTGGCTGGTCTCCCCAATATGATAAATGTTAATGGCTGAGAGTTGAGAACTTCACGTTTTCAATAATGTGTATCTTCTTTCCTAGTCCTGTACGTGCAACTGTGATTCTTACCTACAAGCGGAGAGGTACCACAAGAACATCACCAAGAGATCTGTGGATGAGGATGACCCTGGCTACGAGGTGAAGAAGCTGACAAACGAGGAAAAGAAGAAACTTCAAGGAACCGGTTCTCTCACTGGCAAGACTGATATCGGGAATCCTAATCTTAACCCGAGGAAGGCATGTGGAGTACAATTATTTGGAGGTTTGTATATTTCGCTTCTGTTTGCATGTACATGATTGTAATGAGGAATGCAGTTTTATACGGAAGGTATGTTCAAGCAAATGGACAACGTGAACTGAACAGATAGGCTACAGATTACAACTGTAGTTTCAATCATGGACCGTGAAGGGGAAGGTCTATGACCAGTACCATCATACATTAATAAGTGGTCCTCAAGACACATGACATTCCTCTTTTATTCTTACATGACTACAGGTAAAGTTAGATTCCAGTATCATCATACATTAACATGTCAGCCCTGTTTTCTTCTGATGAAAGGACGTTACGTGAAGATTACATGTGATGCATCTATTGTCGGCCTTAGCAGTACTGATGATATTCCTCCATACTGTGTATAGGTGCAGCAGCCAAGTTGGTGTCATGGTGTGGTTATGGAGACTACCTCAACGAACCTGAAGAAGCAGTGAAAGATCTCGAACAAGACCCCTCCAGAAATTATCATCAGTACATTGTCAAGTTCACGACACAGAGAGACGAAGCAAGGGGATCAGAGGTGATTTTGATAGAAACCTGACACCATACTAATATCAGAAAATGTTCAATGTAACTAATGGTATAAGCTGTCGGAGAAATTAGACTGTATAATACCGCTTTGACAGTTTGTCGGTATGATTGCGTGTAGTGAGTGAGTTGTGATTAACGCTGCTTTTAACAGTATTCCAGTTATATCACGGCGTGTCAGCTCAATGTGGTAGGAAAGTCTGAAGTGGTGCAGGTCTTACCACTTCGATGAAACCCTAGAGCACGGGTATGATGCTGACAAACCTGGAAGCATAATCGGGGTGAACCGAGAATCGAACCCACTGATTCCCGGTTCAGCGAATTGCGGCGCCTTAGACGACGGGGCCACCCTCGTCCCCATGACCGCATGTAACATCAGAATGCGAGAAATACCCCATTAACGGATGAACGTTTGCAACAAAAACTAAAACACACGGAACCTTATATGATGCTAACGGACCATGGATTTTATTTAGGCAAACATTGGATTAGAATAGAATATAAACTGACCCTGGAACGCAAATCATCATTGCCATTAGAAAAGGCAATATGCTGGAGGTTCGTGAATAGCTATACCAATTGATCATATATCAGTTGATCACATTCGGTTGTTTGATTGTTTAACAACATCATACACACGACATATGATAAACATGCTATACTTTTAAATTAATTGTTGTAGGTTACCTGGTGTATGGCAGTATTTATGGACGGGGATCTGCTGACGGAGCAGTGTGGAATACCGCGTCTGTCTCCTGACACCAAACTCTTCCTGGGAGTATGGAATCACAAGAACTATATTCCTGACACTAATCGAGATTCGGAAGGACACCTAAAAGTTTGGAGTGCTACGGCTTCATTTCGTGATCTGGTGATGCCAGCCGACAAGGAGAAGTTGTGTCGCTATGGCAACCCTTTCCAAGGAGGTAACAACGCCATTGTTCGATATGAGGCAGGAATCGGGTCAGCATCAGGTCTCTCTGATGTAGTGCCGTACCAGCAGGTGAGATGTGGCGCATGTTGACACAGATTAATATCAGCGACAGGTTGACTGCATCGTACACAGATGAAAAGTGATATGTCGAAGAAATTAGAAATATCTGGTGAAAACTAATACCCTGTGGCAGAGAGTGTTCAACAACACTCACGGGAAAAGTTGTTTACGAAACTATGAAGTTTGAAATGGGGTAATTATAACTTTACACGGAGTGAGGCACGACGGTAGAGATAATTGCTGTACCCGACCGGGACTTGTAGCATCACCTGAATTGCGAATGTGACATCTTCTGTGTCTCGCTCTGAGACTTATCTACTGAATCTAACGTGTTCTATGTGTTGCTAGGTAGATACTCCGTGTATCCCATGCCTGACACCCCATGACGTTACGTCATCCTACTCTAACGTGTCCTGTGTGTTGCTAGGTACATACTCCGTGTATCCCCTGTCTGACGCCCTGTGACATTACGTCATCCCACTCTAAAGTGTCCTGTGTGTTACTAGGTACATACTCCGTGTATCCCCTCCTGACGCACTGTGACATTACGTCATCCCACTCTAAAGTGTCCTGTGTGTTACTAGGTACATACTCCGTGTATCCCCTCCTGACGCACTGTGACGTTACGTCATCTTACTCCAACGTGCTCTGTGTGTTGCTAGGTACATACTCCGTGTATCCCCTGCCTGACCCCCTGTGACATGTACACATGTGACGCGGCTTGTGACAGCTCATCAACAGACCAGGTAAAGATCACCCTCAACGACCTCAACCTTACAGAAACAACAGTTGTTGAGGGAGAAGTGGTCCCTGTATTGTACTACCTCACAGGTGAGAGAACAACAGTTTATGATGTACTTAAATATTATGTAGTTGACTCACAAATAGAAACAACATTGCTTACATCAGTTCGAGAAACATTGTCAAACATTTGACTTCTTAAGATAACAGTATAAAAAATTATGATATATTTTACCACAGGGCATCTGTCCTTCGCAGAAAGATGCTGCTGTGATTAATCAAATTGTATTTTTCCTTGTGGGGATTCTGCCACAGAATCTGTGGTTATCCTCTCAAAATGGCAACAGTCACTTCGAATTGTGACCATGTAAAGCCCGAGTCATCGTACACCGAAGACATTAATCGTCTTATTATACCTGCAATATTGATGACATGGGCTTACAGAAAGGTTCATTTACACGCCAACGTTGATAAAGAGATAACATGAAAATATAAGAATACCTCACCAGTCTGATATCACCTGCTTGACATGTTTCAGTGAAAGCTGTCCTTGGGTCTGGAACAGAGGCCGTATCGTCATCTGACGGCTTCAACATCGACACGTCACCACCTTTGTTTGACACCGACGTCATGCTCTACATCGACGTCGCCCAGGGAAAATTCACTCCTGTGACGTACCAGGGATCCAACGACACCATCAAGGCTATATGGAAGTGCAATGACAACGAGAGCGAAATTACGGTAACGCAAGGCTTCTCTGTGTCAAAATATATTTATAGTTAAGTGTGTACTGAAAAACGTAAAAAGGAAAGGCGTGCGTTCCCTGGCCTGCCAGAGTTGTTTAATATGTGCATTATCACGTCCTTTTCATGCTGTATCCAACGCGTTGGTGGGCACATATACTAAAGGCATGATGGAGAGGCCCCATGGTCAAAGCGCTGGTTTGTCACAACATACACCGGGGTTCGATTCCCATACATGTGTGACGCATTTCTTCCACGTCGTGATATCGCTGGAATACTAGTATTACCTAAAAGCAGCGGGACATCACACTCTCTCACTCACTCACTCTGCTGCTGAATGATCGACTTTGAGGCCAATTGCAAAGATACACAGTGAAGGTTATTTAACATGTAACCAACTTTATATAAACTGGGTAAATATCGAGCTACAAGAATACATGTATGACATTACAGAACTACGAGTGGGCGATAGGCACGTCGCCAGGGGGAGAGGAGTTGCAGACATTTGTAGCAACTGGGGAGTATCCTGGATCGATGAACTCCGGACTTGTGGGCCTCCTTGAACACAACACGACATACTACGTGACCGTCAGATGTACCAACGGGGGTGGACTGGTCACAACATACGCTGATCCTAGAGGTGTGTACCTTAATACATCAAACACTAGAGAGTTACTCTTGTTCTAGAGGTGCGTACCTTAATACATCACACAGCAGAGTATTACTCTTTTTCTAGCGATGCGCACCTTGATACATTATACAATAAATTATCTCTCTTTTTCTCGAGGTGTGTACCTTGATACTTCAAATAAATAAATTATTTCTAGAGGTGCGTACCTTTATACATCAAAGATTAAGTTCTTACTCTTCTTCAGGAGGTACGTACCTTGACACATCAAACAGAAGGGTGTTACTTTATTTCTACAGACGCATCTATATACATTAGAATAAGTACCCCCCTTGTACTTGTGAATTTCTCAATTGGAGTTTTGTCAATATTTTTTTAAGAACCTGATTCCACCCTGAATCGATTAATCAATAAAGTGGAATGTGTGACTTAGGTGTGACCGTTCTGCTTGAGCCTCCCCTTGTTGATGATGTCAACACGACAATAGTGGGTGCTGAATCCCTTGGAGAGAAAGTGGTGCCGCCAAACTCCATGAAAACCAAAGACAAAAACACCGTGGGTGCTTCCTGGACGGTGTCTGCAGATGAGAGTGTCAGGCGATATGGTAAATGATAATATCATGTATAATGAACGAGCAATATCATTAAAATCAGAAATGTTGCCATTGCTCCATGAGAAGTACTGCCATACAATCTCGGACATATAACAGACATTTCAGAATTTTGAATTTCTTTTGTTCAGTCCCCAGATCTTGGTGTAGCGGCGGCGACAACTAAGATCTAATTTTATTCAGATTGTAATAAGATCGAATGTTCTAGATCTGAATTAGTTACAAGTACACCTATGAGGCTTGTTTCTAAATACATCAAGGTCTTACGTCATGATCAATAGCATTTTCGATACTAATTGATACTTTTCTTATAAGAATTACGATGATGACACCAGGTGTTCTCGAAATGTTCCCTGGCTGTATCCCCCAGCATTGGCAAAAGTCAAGTTACAATACAATGTGAGGTGAAATTATTTAGTAGATGTATCTTTGTGTTGTCAATGGTAGATCTTAGTGCAAATGGCCGTCAGGTGTACCAATAACAATTGATGAAGATTCTCTCCCAATGAAGGCGATGGCGAGGGCTGAAGTGATTTAAGTGAGATCATGTTCAGCATATGTTATTATATATGATTAAAAGCAGGGAATTGTCTGTCTACCATATATAGGGGCGGTTGGGTAGCCTAGTGGTTAAAGAGTTCGCTCATCATCCGGGTTCGATTCCCGACATGGGTACAATGTGTGACGCCCATTTCTAGTGTCCCCCGCCGTGATAATGCTGGAATATTGCTAGAAAGCGACGGAAAACCATGCTTACTCACTCACACACTACCATATATATGGAATCTAAATTTGCAGGAAATCATTTTTATGTATTATTATTGACCGACTTTCGATTAAAGAGAATTTGATCATTAAAAACATTGAAATCTTTGAAGCCTGGATCACTTTAAGATAACTACTGTCGATAATATATATATTTATTTTTTCTTTTATCGCTTCACTATCACAATAGGTCTGTGGTTAGAGAGTTCGCTGGTCACTGTTTGCAATCCAAAATGGGTACACTGAGTAGGGCTCATACTTTGTGTTCACTGCCACTGTGATACAGTTGGATTACTGCTAGATGTGGAGCACCTCACTACTCACTCACTCTCTCGCGGTAAAACTAACAGAACCCTGAAAGACATCTATGCTTCATCTTCAGATTTCTGTGTGGGGAGTTCCGAGGCCAGCATCAGTGACATCTTCCCCTGCACGTGGGTTGGCTACAACACGTCGGGGACGGTTACAGTGGCAGATGGTTACCTTAAACTAAACGGCCGCAATATCTACATGCTGAGTCAGTACAAGCTAGGGTACAATGCCTCGGTACCCGGCACAACGGACAAGTCAGCCTTCACCATGGCTCCAGGCACAGAGATGTTCATCTTCATGAAGATGTGTAATGAGGCCCAGCTGTGCACGACCAAGTTGCTGGGCTCCACCATAGTAGAGACAGACAAGTCCACGATGGCGACGTCGTCTGATGGTTCTGCCGTCACTGTAGATGTTGGAGGTGGTGCGAGGAGGAAGAGGGACGTTTCAGGAGTAATTGTATCAACACCAGATGGTCAGTGTGCAAAATAACGTGATAATGATCAGAGCTACGGAGAACCATTCTCACTGACTCTCTTTATCATACTTTGGAATATTGGTAGAATAGGTCAATATTTACCAATGACTTTCTCTTAAGAAACAATACGGACAGAATAGGTTCGCCCACCCGTGCTTCTTGTGAGGGTCGACTTAAAATTGGGATCAGATTTGTAACTGATGTAGGCCCGATTGTTTACAGGCCATTGTGGAATATTACTGTTTGACGCTTCATTCAACATACGTCTCTGTACACTGTATGTTCGTGTGTTTCATCATCTCACATGGTATTGCCTTGTCTGTGATCCAGGGTTGCAAGTCGGCCAGAGCATTGTGGTCACTCAGCTCACGAAGCTTGATCTGGAGACGGAATACAAGTCTGACGCCTCGGTGGAGTTCGTCCCCTACATCACTGACCCGTCTACATCAACCACAGAAGATGCCTTCACGGACAGAATCCTCAGAAAGAGGCTCAACTATCAGGAAACAGACCTCTCCTTCTCTCTCACTAGTGTTGGTAATCTTCCCATGCCAGGACCGGTGAACGTGACCTTCACCTATGACTCCACGGTCACCAACACAACCTTGATGCTGCTTCACTGGAATACTGGTACGGCCTAACTTTTGTTAATACGGATAATGTGACTTTATATGAGCCATCTCGATTGACAGGGATACACTGTATAACTAACTGAGGACGCAATAGATCTGTTATACTGTACATGGTGGAGTAAAACAACGTTGAGTCACACAGTGGGATGACCATCGGTCAGACCGTAAAAAGATGTAAAAGTCTTTTATAACAATCCAGCAATAAATACAACTGATAGGCAGCGTGAAATACAAGAGTTAAAGAGAGTCTTTGGTCAGTGATGTTTTGTATGATGCAGATGCCCGACAGTGGCAACAGAGCAACAAGACTTGTCACCATGAAACAGACACGGAGGTCAGAGACCCCGTGACCTCTCAGGTCACGGTCAAAGTGAGTGACATGATGTCCTTTAACAGTTCATGATGGACCCTGATATGGTAGAGTTCCAAAGGTGTAGGGGGCGGTCGGGTAGCCTGGTGGTTAAAGCATTCGTTCATCACGCCGAAGACACAGGCTCGATTCCCGACATGTGTACAATGTGTGATATTGCTAGAATATTGCTAAAAGCGGCGTAAAACCATATTCACTCACTCACTCACTCACTCATTCACTCACTCACTCAAAAGGTGTGCTTTGTTTAGACAGGTGTACTTTGTTTAGACAGGTGTACTTTGTTTAGACAGGTGTTGTTTGTTTAGACAGGTGTAGTTTGTTTAGACAGGCGTACTTTGTTTAGACAGGTGTAGTTTGTTTAGACAGGTGTACTTTGTTTAGACAGGTGTTGTTTGTTTAGACAGGTGTACTTCGTTTAGACAGGTGTACTTTGTTTAGCCAAGTGTACTTTGTTTAGAGAAGGTATTGTTTGTTCAGATAGGTATAGTTTGTTAAGACAGATGTAGTTTGCCACATTGGTATTGTTGGAATGAAGTTCAAAGTGGAGAATATCGACGGCCACACATTTTAACAATCGGACTTAACGAAGGAAATAGCAGAATGGATATAAAAGGACGTGGGACTTTGACCTGACCTGTGTATTATAAGCTTACCGGATGTTTAAGTATCATAAATGAAACACATCAACCTTTTACCTGTATCTAGTTATGTTGATATGAAAATTATTGAGATCCAATCATCTTCCGCTAAATTATGCAGTAATTATAACATCAGTATGCATTGACAGGCCGTTGCGAAGGTTTATCATTTCCAACACATATGATAGTTCTGTCTTCAACATGTAATGGACATGCTAAAGACCCTTCTTTGTTCACAGTTGTATAATCTTTGCATATCGGTCATCGTCTGGGATGATTGTGTCTTTTGTGTTCTGTTTAGGTATGTAACACAAGGTCAACACTAGACAGCAGCAGTTCCAGACGTCGGCGATCTGTGTCTGACACGTACTTCAGACACCCAACCCAGTTCCTACTGACTTCAGCTCTGACAGAGATACCTAATTCACCACCTCAGCTCACCAGCATCACGTCTCTTGCCATGCAGGAAGATCAGGGTATGTGTATCTAAGTTTGTCTCTGTTATCATGCAGGAAGACCAGGGTATGTGTCTCTTAGGTTGTCTCTCTTGTCATGCAGGAAGACCAAGGTATATGAGTCGCATCTAGCTGTGAAAAAAAGATGTACACTTAACTGGTCTTACCTTCAAGTTACATATTGGCCTAAATCTTCGTTTGTTAGCATTCTTCCTGTGCTCGTTGGTTCTAGTGGTCTTATACAGATCTTGTGATAGTGGGTTCGATTCCCAGAATCGCCCTGATTATAATCCTTGAGAGAATGCCAGCATCTTGTGAATTCGCATGTGTCACCGTGGTGAACGTGTAAGACATGATTCAGTCATGACTCTCCTCATTCATTGTTCAGTGGAACACTGAAAATGCGTTAAGGCCAACCCACTTACTAGAGTATGCACATCGTCCAACTTACATCACTCGATAATGTTCCAGGTACAATCGTATACCAGATGACTTCCACGGACGCCAATGGAGACGTGGTCAAGTACAAGATTAGTGACAACTTCACTGTGGCTGATTTAGAACTGACGCTGTCAGAGGATGGATTGTGAGTGTCTACTTCATACAGCTGAAAACTTGTATATATGTTGGTGTGTAGTATGAGAGAAGTCATGTTCAGAGGAGTTGGGCTGGTTCCATGATATGTTTGGAAACTTACGTTTTATACCCTGGCCTTTGTAAGTCTGCGTCAATCAATATCTTGCATTTTCCAAACATATCAACATTGACACCTTTCTGACACCAATATGTGGGTCTGTGCAACAGCGGGGCAACCGGTTTGGCAGGGCAGGTTTACCTTTTTCCCGAACACGTGGTGTCATCTCTGCTTTTCAGTGATCCATTCATGTAATTGTCACCGCCAAGGGGAGTCGTCGGATAATCGAGATGATATATTTCAGGATGACCTATACACCTGCTACCAACTACTACGGATCAGTAGAGGTCCCGGTTATTCTTTATGAGGTACCCCAGGCTGAGATACCACCGGCTGAAACGGCTGTAAACATCAGCATCATCATCACCTCCGTCAACGACGCCCCCAGCGCCTTCGTCTTCAGTGATGGAGTCAGCTTTCTTCACGCTGATCCGACCCATCCAGTCCTGGTAGGCGGCTTATCAACGTGTTGCTCTCTCTCTAAGTCTACACAGAGCCCATGTTCTTACCGTGAATTCGGTGAGGGTAAAATGCTCGTTGTATGTCAGATATCGTTACCTTTGCTTGTCACGTCGAAGGCCCAGGTTCGATCCTCTACATTGATACAATATGTGAAGTCCATACCTGATGTCCCCCGCCGTGATATTGCTGGATTACTGATTGATAAAAGCGGCGTACAACCACTCTCACTCACTGAAGAGTGTTACATGGAACTGCCGCAAACTGTCTTTATCAAAGGAAGCCGCAGAAGAGCTTTTTGTGTGAGGAGACTACACACAAACTCCTCACATTGTCAAAAAAGGTTTTAACCTTATTCACAACATCCATTTCACATATTCTGAGCAGGTTGTATATTAGGCGTGTTAAAAGGACTGTCGTCTGATACCCAAATTAAAATATTGTCCCTATATTTTGGGATACATGTTTCTTACTATTGGTCAGTGTAGCATAACTCGGGGCACAGGTGGTGGGCTGTTTGAATGCGATGACATGCATCAACCAAGTCAGCGAGCCTGACAACCCGATCTCGTTAGACGCCTATTACGACAAGCATAGTCGCCTTTTACTGCAAGCATGGGTTGCTGAAGACCTATTCTAACCCGGTTCTTCACGGGTCAAGTATACAAGTAAATAATAAAGTTATAGCTATGGCGCTTCAGCTTGGTGCTAAGATCGGACACATCTTCAGCGCTAATATAGAAAGGCTCTGTTCATGGACAGGGTAATTTGCTTTTCCAGATTCTACTCGAGGAGGTACGAGTAAATGACAGCAACCCTACAACATACAGATGGGAGTTTGGAGCGTACGACGTTGACGGTGACGACAACATTACCATCTACTACACTCAGCCATCTAGCGGGAACCTCACAGTCGGCGACGTGAACACCGTGGTACCCTGCTCATACAATACGGTCAGTCAGAGGCGCATTGCATTCGGGAATTTATAACATGTATTCATATAAAAATGACCCGTCCTATTCAGGGCGTAAATTTGAATCAGTGTCCGTGTGTGATGTGACCGCCTCTGTGGTCCAGAGCGTCCGTCCGTAGAGCTGAGGATCGGTGTTTCTGTTCGCAACCACATCACACCAAAAGACATTAATGATGGCGTTCGGATTTAAGGGGTTAAAGCAAGGATTGGTCGGCTCGGAGTCAGGATACTGTCTGAGTGGGGTAATCATGTTAACCTGCGGCATGGTATCTCAGTGGACAAGCACTATAAAACCGGCATCAGTCCGGACCAGTAGAAGCAGCCACACACACATGCATGTACGTCGCTGAATAAGTGCAATAATCTTAAAACAGACGTTTATCCCCATTTCACCTCCCTTCGTGCATTCTCGGTGTCCTTCACAGTGATTCTATTGTAATGGTCGAAACACCAGCGTAAAATGTTTTTATTTCAGAGCGGCATCCCCTGTGACAGCCTCCATCTCCCCCATCCTCCTGACTCCCTCAACTGGGTCTACAGGACCTTCCAGTACCAACCTGACCCTGGTTACTATGGTTACGATGAGGTCCGTGTATACGCCCAGGACCAAGCAGGGGTATACTCGGATGTCATCACGATCAAACCAACTGTTATGGAGAGGCCATGCGAGAATGGAGGAACATGCAAAAGTAAGCAATGATATATATAAATGTGTTTGTCTACTGACCAGCTTGAACTGATTAGGCTGGAAGCGCTGGCTCGTCAGGCCAAAATCCAAGTTCGAATCATCACATATGCAATCGTCCTTAGAAAATACACATCAGCGAAAACTTAACCTTTATTATAACATACAGGACTAAACATTTACTGGAAACATATATTCACTATGATATGACCCAGAAAATTGTTGCTATAACTGAAATTAGGCCATCGTCAATATTTCACGTGTTTGTCACACTATGCTCCTCCATCACCCCTGAATACTGTGAACGGCAATATTGAAGTCATTCGCGACGTTTGAAAACTTTTCGTGACAAACATGTTCCCTTTCGTGAATTTGAAAACAAACAAACTAGTATTCATTTTGTTCTCGGTTTGATTAACAATTGACAAATATATCTCACAGCTGTTTGGACACAGAGAAAGAAAGCAACACATTAGCCATAACCTTAACATTTACAAAATCGATAAGACCTCCAGCTAAAAATATTCCTTGACACCAATAACTCACAGAATGATTACCTCATTGTCATACAATCTCCACAAAGTGCCCGTATGCCACACACCTAATTCACGTTATACCTCCACATACATAATTCCAGGCAAGAATGAAAGCGTGTACAACTGCACCAACTACCGCCGTGCTGAAGGTTTTGACCTCTACTACGAGTGTGCGTGCGCACCTGGCTGGACCGGCATTCATTGCGAGGATGACGTCAACGAGTGCAGCAGCTCTCCATGTTCCTGGCCGTACGTCTGCTACAACGACGTCAACCGATACTACTGCGCATGTGCGAAAGATGATCCAAACTGTGATGGGTTGCAAGCATGGATGATCGGTCTGGTTGTGTTGGCGGTGATATTGATAATCATCTTATCCTTGCTGGCTTGGTATCTCTGCATGCTCAAACGAGGGTAGGTACTGCGCATGTCCGCATGGGTACGTCAATCAATGGGTACGTCAATCAATGGGTACGTCAATCAATGGCTACGTCAATCAATGGGTACGTCAATCAATGGGTACGTCAATCAATGGGTACGTCAATCAATGGGTACGTCAATCACCTGTCGAGTATAAAACGAGTAAGACACCAAATATAACACCACGTTCCAATTCCATTCAAATTGCCGAAAATACACATTTTCGTATTGAGAGGACCTCCTGGTATGACCATATAAGCTCTATAAGATTAGCTGACGGAGATGAAAATGATATTCTAGTTCCTTATTTCTAAACAACAACTATCCTTTACCTAATATTTACATTTTCTTAATAAACAACTTAAATTCAACCCTTACAAAAGGGCTTAAAAATAAATATCACCTGCTTTACAAATCCATCGACCCATAGTTTACAACGTTGAAAAAAAATATAATCTGAAGAACAGTAATTTTCTGTGGAGATCAAATGTGCACGATGAAAAGGCGATCGATATTTGAAGGGAAATAACTCTTTCTATGACGTGTTTTCAGTGAGTGAGTTAAGAATTAACGTCAGATCGGCAATATTTCAGCCATATAGTGACGAGTCGTGTTTTCAGAAACACGTAAGGCAGCCGCGTTTTATCCCACGGAAAGAGATGGGCCCACAACCTATTTGGTCATCAAAGTACAGCCATACATACGGACATGGTGTCAACTTAAAGAGGATGATACTCCTTCCATCGCCACTGTTACGGAGTGAGCAGCGGAGTTCAAGAGGGGAAGAGAGAACTTCGATGATGATCCAAGATCAGGAAGACCTTCAACCGCCACTTCTAATGGCCCTGTCCCACTGCAACGTTTTAGAGTAACTAAGTAACAGTTAGTACGCTGTCATACGTCGAGATTTCATTGAAAAAACATGATTTTGGCGCATCCATAGCGTACACATAACGAGAGTTTACCGTATTTGTAACGCATGCCTTACATATTAGTAGCGTTTCACTGACTTACACATAACTTATGACAGCGTATAAAAGCGTATTGCCAGCGTGTGTCTGGCGTGTTCAACGTATGGCCAGCGAATGCCTAACGTATAAGTAACGTATGACGAGCGCGCTCAGCGTAGGGTAAAAGGGAGTGACTGACTTAGTAAGGTTTTAAGTCGCTTTTAGCAATATTCCAGCAATATCACGGCGGGGGACATCAGAAATGGGCTTCACACATTGTACCCATGTCGGGAATCGAACCCGGGTCTTCGGCGTGACGAGCGAACGCTTTAACCATTAGGCTACCCATTAGGGCCGTATCGGTAAATGATATCTGGCGTTTGTAAACGTAAGTGGAGCGTACGTCTAACGTATGCCTAACGTATAATTCATACCTTAATACGTTCCCATACGCCGAAAATTTTGTGCAGGCACAAAAATGTTTTTAAGCCTCGGCGTACTACAACGTATACCAGCGTGCCTTTAACGTATACAACTTACACCTACCTTATCCATAGCGTGTTTCAGCGTTGCCGGGGTTTGGGAAATATTCTCCTACGTCGCCATACGTTACTGCTATACGTTGTAGTGTGACAGGACCATAAGGAATAAGACACATTATATGATTATGGATGATCGACAAGTCACATAGCGAATACAGTCGGCATCTCTCTGAGAGAATTGGGAACATTCTTAAGATTGACCTGGGTATGACAAAGGTTTCAGAACACTGGGTTTCAATGCTTCTGTCTCCACATCAGAAACATTCGGGTTCCCCATCTCTCAAGATACTTTACGTCGTTTTGAAGCAGACCCAGCTGAGTTTGTTCCAAGAAGAAGGCAAAGTCTCTTTTATTAGCTGGTAACTTGATGGCTTCAGTAGTTTGGGTTTCCAATGGAATCCAACTGGTGAACGACCACACAAGATGTCAAGCCGATATTGTCCTAATCAGCTTTGGCAATTGCGTGAGGATATCAAGGCTAAACGACGTGAATGACCCACGAAACGTGTGTTGGACAATGCACCTATGCTGTTGCCATGGCTGCAGTGCATGAGTTTCGTTTTGAATTATTGAATATCCTCTGTATTATCCGTCAGAGATCCACGTCTTCCCAAACTTGTAGGAAGAACTGTGCGTAAAGCATTATACAAAATGGTGATGAGTTCATTTATGCTGTGGGGAACTTTTTGGGATGAAGGCGCTCCAGCATCTTTGGAAGACGTGTGTGGACCTCAAATAATACTTAGAGCAGTCCTTCAAAGTTAGGTTCAGAACTCTTCCGCAACCCCACGTATATAGTCGAAAGTAAGATGGCATTTGTGTTTGGGAAATAACGTAGTTCGTGACATGGATACGTCTGAAGTGTTTGGTATATATCCCAGGGGCATATAACACATATGTGTGTTTTACAGAACGGTATGTGTGTTATTGTCGTGCATAAAGGTACATGTTTAGATTCTAAATATATCACATACCGTCTTCCAAAACAGTTCGACCAGATATGATTCTGATCAAACAACCCTGAAAATGGACAGGAACAAATTTAAACTTGCAAATATTGACAACTTAATTATTTCAATCTCGCAACCCTTATGTATAAGTTTCTCTTATTAACACTGTTGAGTACTTGTTCTGATAGGGATGTCCTAAATAATCCGCAGTTCGTGTCTCGATTATAAATTCACAAAATGAAACCGAAATACTTGCTGAAAACCAGCATGAACGCCTGATGGCATGTTTACAATGATTCAAGAGTGCACAGTTCTAGGAATGTGTCCCTTTGGTTCTGTTTGACTCTGTATCTTTTCAAATGCCAGTTGTACAGGTGTGAATCATGTTGATTATGAGGTCTAACACTGCGCTGACCCACCATAAGAGGATGACCACTTTGGTTTGAGGCAATCACTGTCAAGTCCTTTAAAATTATTTACACATTGTTTTCCAGTCGTTTCCACTGGTCCTTGATAGCGTACAAGATCTTCCGTATCCGACCTAAGGGATCCAGAACACCCTTTGTCAATGAAGGCTTTAGTGATGTAAGTATGTTCAAATGTTCAGAGTACACCAATGTGGCAATATTCCAGCAAGAATTCAGAAGGACCGAAGACACCAGAATAGGCTTAACTAGTATACTATAACCAGTATGCTTCCTCGGGTACCATTTATAACATAGCTCCTAATCATTCAACACGTAGGGTTAGCAGTCATGGTTGTTTTATCACAATTAGAAGTCTTTTAATCATTAGTTTTTAAATTTCTGTCTATTCCGTACCTAGGTTCCCCTGACATATAGTTACACATGTATTACTAACTTTGCAGTGGGTGTCAATAAATGCTGCGGTGTTGATAATGCCCGGATAATGTACACAAATATGATGCTCACAGTCTCATCGACTCTTTCGTTTGACACGACTGTTATTTAGCCAAATCATAAACTGTGACTATTTAACTCGTGATAAATACCTTGTGATCAATCATGAGTAATGAAGAATAATTTATAGGTTTTTTTCTCGTGCATTGTAAAAAATAAGTAATTACTTCTTTCAGGATTTGAGCGGAAGTGAGAAAAGCCATAAGGTAAGTGTCAATAGTTCGTCATAGTGAACAACATAAACTTGAACCTTGAATGTCATGTAAGTCCGGACACTGTAAATTTGGTCTTTACCGGATATTCTCACAATTTGCACGACGATTATCTGTACCTTTTCTCCCAATACCGATTGTCATGTTTCTCCCACTTTTGGATGCGATTGTTCGTCCATTGCGTTTATCTACGTTGCCAAGCTGCATCTACGGGGAAGAAATCACAAGACACTTCCCTCCCGAAATTAATGTCGCCCAATTAGTTGCGAGCGCTTGTTCGAATCTCCAGAAATGATGTCAAGATGGAACAATGTTTTATCGTGAAATAAACCACACTTCGTTCTTCGTTGCTCTTTGTGCAATCTTATATATTCCAATAATCCTAAACTCACAACTCAACTGTTCAACGGAAAGCAAGTTTATTTTAACTTTGAAATATTTTAAAAAGCCTATTAAAAAATTTGAAAAAAATCGTTACTAAAGATTATCAACTAAACATTCTGTATCCTATAAAGTAGTATCCCCCAGTCAGAGTCATCTGGGGCGGTGGGGTAGCCTCGTGGTTAAAGCGTTCGTTCGTTACGCCGAAGACCCGGGTTCAATTCCACACATGGGTACTTAATGTGAAACCCATTTCTGGTCTCCCCCATCCGTGATTTTGCTAGAATATTGCTAAAAGCGGCCTAAAACCATGCACGGTCACTCACTTACTCTAGAAGTAGCAATTTTGACTGTAGCGACACAGGCTTAGACCTTGCACGGTAGGTACGTACTTTTAGGATAGGTCGTCATCTGATTATATTCGTATTAAACTGTTCACAGTCCCCCATCTTCACGACCACGATACCGTGAGTAACTACATTGTGGTTATTTAAATATACAAACATTTCAGAGTTAAGTTTAACACGGCTTACAAAAGTATGTCAATGATATCACGCCTGTCGGCCTAAAGTGATGCACGAGTGTGGCATGAAACACCACGGATCACAATCAGGACGAATCCGGAATTAAAACGCAGGACCAGTAGCTTTCCAGATACGGCTTGCTAAAAATGTACTAACTTAGATGGTGTTTTTTTCTCCAGGCAAAAGGCCTAACCATTGAGCCACAACTCGAAGAGGCAAACATCCGCTTTGACCACTCCAGACATCAACCGACTCGTCCTGACTTCACTCGTGGTGCAAAAACGGACCGGCGCATGACACCAGTTGAAGATTACGGAGAAAGACCACGCAGTTCATCCTCTCTTATCAGGGGCAAGTCTACGGTCAGAAGAAAGTGACCCCGTGTGGCCCCCGGCCCCGAACCGGAACCAGACTATGATCCATGAAGAACTCCGGAAACTATGTAGATAGTTGTCTTTCAGAAAATGCTTAAATATAACTTACTTTATGTCATTTGTAAACACATGTCGTGCAAATGGTTGATTTAAAATAAAGGTTTATTAACTGAATGTTGATAAAATCAGTTAATTAAATAATTAAATCCCCAGTCTAATAATCTTATTACAAGGGCTTCCATTGATGGAAACTGCTGATAGGATGTCATCGATAAATGATATATGAATGTTGGCTGTGTGTTTCTATCAATGAAATCTCACAGAATATTCTTCTATTGTAACAAAGTTTAAATTAGCGCCTAGACACGCATATGTCTTGAGTGGACAGTGGAAACTTGAATATGAGCTTGTAAAGGTTAAAATTGTAAAAGCAATGTATTTTTTAAAATCTTTTCAAGATGTATATTTTATCTATTCACTTAAAAGATCAACTTAAATAGATATATTGTGTATATACCACAACCAATTGGGACTTGTGTGCACTGGACAGTAACGTATTAATATATCGCATAATTGTACTTTTTCATCAAAAATAAATATTGTTCAGCAATTGAAAAGTTGTTTCCGTTAGTCTCTTCGATCTCGGCCGTGATGGAAAACACCACCACCCAACCCAATCCCATGTCCCCCCAACCCCGAGAAGGAGGAGTTGGAGGGGTGGATGTTGAGGGTATTTAAAAAATGAACGATTTTTGGAAGATGTATTAGAAATTGCGAGTCATTGTACTGTGATACGCAGTAACGAATCTTCACTCAATGACTCATTTCAAGCCATGACTCACTGTACAACACTGTTCGACGGTCACCAAACACAAGAGATGATCTTTGAGCTGCATTTGAAGGGCTGACGATTTTACAAACTGTGGCAATATACTGCCGGGAAAAAGACATGTTTGATGATTTTTTCGATGGTGATGTATTTGATACGGGTATCATAGTTGTGTTTTGCACCTTATGTTTACTGTGTTTCGCAACTGTTTCAACGTTTTGATAACGTTTGTAACTGTTTAATCCAATCCATTTTTTAAGTTATACCTTCTTTAATCCTGCAGTGTAATTCAGTGTCAACGACCGGTCACAGTTCTTGAACACAGAGGATGAGAATCTTGCCCTTGTAACTGTACTACAACAAACAATATCAAGATATGCATTTTAAGTAACTATATATACTCAACAACAAAAGTTCCTGTGACACCAATATTTTGTGTATTTTTCAAGTTTATCAAGTACAGTTTGGTTTTCAATATTGTAGTACATGTATGGAATCAAGTCACAAAAACGCAACTGCTACAGAAAAGCATGCATTCCATGCAAAAGTTGACTTTTATGCAAGCCCCATGCATTTCACTACCCAAGAATGGGTATAAACACATCTGCGTTAACAGGATTCCATATGCATTGTTTAGCATCGTGCTGACAACAACCAGTCAGAAAAACAACAAAATTACTCAATTATTCAATATTACGAAATGCCACGCAAGCCACGCGCAACCAATAATCGACAAGACAACTGGATTCGAACAACACACCTACGAAATCGATTCCAGCCAGCAACAGTGACTGCAAGAAGCATCCCTGGCCTTCGACGAATATCTTCACAAACCGTACGTCGTCGCCTCAGATGTGCAGGGATTGTCGCCAGAAGACCCACTAGACGTCCCATTATGATAGGAAACCGTCGTCAAGCACGTCTCGGTGGTGCAGACAGTGTCTACGCTGGACGGCCATGCAATGGGGACAAGATCTATTCACTATTCATGGTCTCGTTTCACCTCAGCCACAGCAATGGACGGATTCGAGTGTACCGACGTCGAGGTGAACGATACGTCAATCATCGTGTCATTGAGAAGATCGGTTCGGGGGCGGCAGCGTTATGGTATCGGGTGTGATTACAGCCAAACAGAGGACCTGTTTGATAGTGGTAGAGGGAATGGACAGCGCTACCGCGACGGCATCATCTGCCCTGTTGTTCTACCGTTTTTGCGACGTCGTGGCTCAGACATTACCTTTCAACATGGCAACGCCCGGCCTTATATTGCTCGACTTGTTCAGGATTCTCTTCAACAAAACAACGTGAATGTCATCCCCTGGCCGGCTCGCTCCCCTGATCTCTCACCAATCTAGCACACGTGGGATGAAATGGATCGGCGCCTTCGACGTCAACCACGTGTTCCACAGACACTCTATGAACTTCGAAACATGCTCCAGCAGATATGGACAGATATCCCACAGGCCTTTTAGGCGACGCCTGGTCCATTCCATGAGATGAAGATGTGTTGCTTGCATCGCAACCAGAGGTGGACACACACGTATTGATTTGTAAATTGACATTTTGGCATTTTTTTTTATGAAATCACGATTTTTTTAAAGTAAGTATGGCAAATTAAACCATTTGAACACGTACAGGAGTCTTTTATCTGTTGCAAACCGAAATTGTTTCAGATTTGGTAAAAAACATAGCTTTGAATTAAATCTTATTTAATGTCACAGGAACTTTTCTTGTTCAGTATACTTTGTATGATTATATATTTTGCCAGAAAGCATAAACCTTTGTTTATTGTCAGGGTATGACACTTGCCTATATTTTGTTAGCTTAATATTTCAAGTTAGCCTTTAATACTGTATTGTTAGCCAAACCATTGTGTTTATATTTATACCACTTCGGCATTTCTAATTGTTTAATGTAAATTAGGTTAATACTAATTTCGGGGGGAGTGTGACGGTAGTCAGTGTCAGTGTGTAAATAAGATATTTTAGTAGCGCTTTATTGTTTCTCCTCGTTCGTGGCAAGTATGTTTTAGCTCCCTTGGGGTATAAAGCGAGTACCATGCTTTTCGGTGAGAAAGGCCTTTGTTGATCCACATTCCGTCAAGATGTTTTACGGATTTTAGGGGATTGGATAACTGTATTAGAATTCTGTATAATAAACATCATGAATACTCAGTTTCTCGGTTCAGAGTTTTAGAAAACAGTATACTATGCTATAATACAGAAACATAACACCCTGCTCTCAAACGTCTGCAGATTAGAAGATTTACTGTTGAGGAGAACTTTGATTCTTGGTCAGTTTTCGTTTTATGTGGTCAGTGATTTTGACAAGATCTATAGTGTACTCGTATTTAACAAATAAAGCACGAGTAAGAGTTAGTTATCGTATAATAAAAGACTTCATGGAGAATAAACCATGAGGGACGCGGCAGGAGTCGTCTCATGTTGCCACCACCTTTTGTTTGGAAAAGATAAAACAGTCATACGTGCAGATTTGGAGAACAATAGCAGACAGCAGTGGTCGTCTCAATTTTGAATTAGCTTAACATTTCCACAAAACGGTATTCCTCAGAACTATCAAATCATATATAACTACTATCATATATAGTGGATGATGTCATATAATAATGTCAATATTTGTGTTCGTTGCAATCGGTACTGAAGACTTGGATAATCAGGCTACGGCCACGACCACTGTTGGGAATAAACTCGACATTCCACAAGTGCATTTGCCATTCAGTAAGGAAGTTATTTGCTTACTTACTTACTTACTTTGGAGATTTAACGTGCGCTTTCCGACTGATGCGTATTTCGCGCACGGGCCCGGCCAGGCCATTTAATGTGTTTCCGAAAGGGGCGAAAGTGGTCTGTGCAACCCAAGAGGGGGGTTTAGGGGTTGCTTATATAGAATTTGGGAATTTTGAGATTTGGAATAGATGCCGATGGGGTTGGGGAGGAGAACTAAGTGAGCTGGGTATGGTGGATGTTTGTTTGTTTATGTGATTTTGATTTGGTAGGTTATTGTGTTTTTAGATGCGTTTTATTAGTTCCGTTTTTATTAAGAATACGCCAAAGGCCTTGAAGTTTTCTAGTTTATTTTGTGGTTTTAGTATTGCTTCTAGAGTGAGAGCCTTGTTTAGATTGAGGGTGGTTTGTAATGCGGTTCGATGTGTTAGGTAGTGTGTGCAGTGGATGAGTGCGTGTTCTGGGGTTTCTGGTTGTTTGCAGTGTGGGCAGTTACCTGTAGTGTGTTTTTTATTTTTTTTTAGGTGGTTATTTAGGTTGGTGTGTCCTGTTTGGAGTTTAGTGATTACTCTGTCGATGGATGGAGATGGAGAATTTTTGGTTTGGTTAGTGGTTTGCTGAGCATTTTTTTTATTTGGAATTCCCACTATGTATATACTATCTCACTGACTACATGTTAACTGGTCACTACAAGTGTCTTTATTATTACATACTTTCATATCAGTGATCTGAGATTACTCACATGTAAGTTTTTACAGACTTTGATATGGTGAACACAAATCACTTGAGCATAGATAAACATTTACTTGAATTGACACACTAATTACTGTGATCGCTTTTGGTATGTTTCCTTTGCTTGTATAAACACAGTAACTGTTAATCCCCAACAGTGTGGTGGCAAAGTGAGTATAAGCAACTCAAACATTGCTTTCATCGGTGCTACACCTGATCTAGCGACATTACGTTATTTTAAGAAGGTCATGACATGATAAAGACCACCACGATTATCCAGAGTTGTATCTCCATTCTGTTATGATCCAGCTCCATCTTTTCTTATCATCCACTTCTCTCGCTCAACAGCCAATCACAATGGCTATTCTGGACGCGTTGTGGACATAGCTCTACATTCAAAATCGCGGCATCACTCGAGCAAGCCCTCGATGTATTTAAACGAATCACAAAACAAATAATGTTTTAGCGGCCTAAAACCATGCACGGTCACTCAATTTTGACTGTAGCGACACAGGCTTAGACCTTGCACGGTAGGTACGTACTTTTAGGATAGGTCGTCATCTGATTATATTCGTATTAAAATTGTTCACAGTCCCACATATTCACGACCACGATACCGTGAGTAACTACATTGTGGTTATTTAAATATACAAACATTTCAGAGTTAAGTTAATCACGGCTTACAAAAGCATGCTAAAAATGTACTAACTTAGATGGTGTTTTTTTCTCCAGGCAAAAGGCCTAACCATTGAGCCACAACTCGAAGAGGCAAACATCCGCTTTGACCACACCAGACATCAACCGACTCGTCCTGACTTCACTCGTGGTGCAACAACGGACCGGCGCATGACACCAGTTGAAGATTACGGAGAAAGACCAAGCACTTCATCCTCTCTTATCAGGGGCAAGTCTACGGTCAGAAGAAAGTGACCCCGTGTGGCCCCCGGCCCCGAACCGGAACCAGACTATGATCCATGAAGAACTCCGGAATCTATGTAGATAGTTGTCTTTCAGAAAATGCTTAAATGTAACTTACTTTATGTCATTTGTAAACACATGTCGTGCAAATGGTTGATTTAAAATAAAGGTTAATTAACTGAATGTTGATAAAATCAGTTAATTAAATAATTAAATCCCCAGTCTAATAATCTAATTACAAGGGCTTCCATTGATGGAAACTGCTGATAGGATGTCATCGATAAATGATATATGAATGTTGGCTATGTGTTTCTATCAATGAAATCTCACAGAATATTCTTCTATTGTAACAAAG